ATCCCAGCACTCTGCAGTGGAAAGTCACTGTACCGGTTAGACCTGACCATTGTAGTCATTCATTTCTCAGACCTGCCCACTCCAAGATAAACTTCCTCACCCATCCACAGCACACCCCAGTGCCTGAATCCCTTCTAACTGCCTCCTGGATAGCCCCTCTAACGTCACTCCTTCAGCATGTCCCAATGATACCTCAAACTCAGTAATTCCAAAGCAAAGCATATGATTGCCTCCCAAGTGTGTTCCTCTTGCCATTAGCGAAATGTTTGTATACCCAGTGGTCCAGAGGGCAGGCCAGGGCTTTGCCCTTCATCATTGGCTTGCTCTCTTCTTTCCCACCATCTCCTAGCTTGTCTCCTCTTCACACTTATCCCCCACACACATCCACTTTCTAGTTGTTTAACTTTCCACTGGTTCTCAAATCCTCCCATTTCTCTCCATCTCTGATACCACCAGCTACTGTTCCAGTCAACACTATTGTCACGTGGTCACTTACAGTTTCCACACTGGACTCTCCCCGCCTCCCATTCTCTTTCCCTCTCTGCAGCCACCACAATCTCTAGGTCCCAAGTCTGGGGCTGAGGGTCCAACTCAATTCAGTAGCTTGTCTAGCACACGTGAAGTCCTGCATGCGATTCTGAACACCACATAAACCCAGCCGTAGTAGTGTACTCCCATTTCAAGGCCATTCTCAGCACCAGTGACTTTGAGGCCAGTGTAGATTCCATAAGCTCCTGCCTCAAAACAGCCAGGTCACCAGGCTGTTCATACCTGACTCCTCCCTCCCTGCATCCACCTCTTCAAGTGCTTTTGTTTGTTTGTTTGTTTGATGACTTTTTTTGTTTTCCAGAGACAAGGTTTCTCTATGTAACATCCCTGGTTGTCCTTGAATTTACTCTGTAGACCAGGCTGGCCTTGAACTCACAGAGATCTGCCTGCCTCTGCCTCCCCAGTGCTGGGATTAAAGGTGTACACCACCACTTCCCAGCTTCAAGTGTCCTGGATGCTTAACATGTTCTGCCAGGTCTTTTCCTGGTGTGTTTCTAGTTTGCTCTTCACGTTCCAGGCAGGCCCATTTTATTTATTCAGTTCCTTAGTGTGCATACCCATCTAGCCTCTGAGGCTCTGCAAACATTGTTTTCCTAGAGTGTTACTGCAAGTAAACAACAACTGTGTGTGCTGTGCATGCCTCCAGAAACCTGAGCTGTTGAGAACTCTCAAGGTAAAAGAAAGAAATCGCTTATTTCAAGTCAGCTTCCCTCCAATGTATCACAATGCCAAGGTTCTTCACAATTTACCTGGCGGACAGGCTCCAGTTTCTCAGCTCTCTGCCCCACCCTTTGTACTCCTAACCCAGACCAGACAGATGATGTTGCCTGTGTTCTTTTGTGCTGGATGACTTTGTGCCAAAGGCGATCCTAATGGTCAGTTTACTTGCACTAATTTCTTGAAGCCCCAGAGATGCCAGCAGTCCCCTAGATCTCCACCTCTGTCTGTTTGCTGCCCCCAAGTGTCCAACAGCAGACCAGAGAGTTCTTTGTTGTTTAGCCCCTTGGCATTGAGACAAGTTAGACAGACCCCAGGGGAGTCTGGTAGTACAGTCCCCAGAGGCAACATCTTATTCTGTCCACAGGCTCACTGATGCCAGGTACCCACCGCTTTTTTTTTCTGTCTCAGTCCCTTGTCTGTGCTGTAGTGTATGTGTGAGATCACAGTAGCAATTTGTAGGGAAGCATAGAGTGGGGCTAGTACAGGAGAGAGCAGAGTGCCCTGATTCGATGCCTTTCTAGAGAAGGCAGCCCTTGTCTGGTGGTCCCCACTGCCCTCTTGCCCACAAACCCCCTGCTGCCTGCCTGCCATCCCTGCAAGGGTTCCCCCTTCCAGAACCTGGGCACAGACTGAAAGTGACAGTAGTGTGCCTAGCTCTGGAATATACTCTCCTGCAAGACTGGAGAGAGAGAGGTAAGCGGGAAAGATGAAAGGGGAGGTACAGAGGGGCGAGAAGAAGAAACCAATGATGCCATTAGCATCCTTCATTGGCCTGATGACAAGAACTTTGTAACTCTGGATGACTGAACAAATGAACCGAGGAGATAAAAGGGAGAATTGCACTCAGGGAGCAGCAGAGCCAGTCCACCTACAAACTTAGTCCCTGAAACCACTTTCTATTTCCAGCTGGGGGCTGGGAAGATAGCTCAGTGGTTAAGATCACTCACTGGGCTGCAAAGGACGTGTGTGTGTGTGTGTGTGTGTGTGTGTGTGTGTGTGTGTGTGTGTGTGTGTTCAGCTCCCGGGACACATGGCGCCTCACAACTAACTGGCAACTTCCATTCCAGGGAACCCAACGCCCCCTTCTGGCCTCCAAGGTCACTTCTCACATGTGGCACACATGCATTCATGGGGGCAAAACATCCACACACGTGCATCTTTAAAAATAAATCTGCATTTCCTTTAAGCCAACTCCTGCAATTTGTCTCCTGACGTTCCCTCACGTGCTGTGGCATTTGTGCCCCCCCTCCTGCCATAAATAAATGTAACTTAAAACATTTTTAAATTGATGCCTGTTTTCAGTTTTCATATTCACTCATTTGTTCAAGATAGACTTACTGGCCCCATAGTAGGTGCCAGGTCCTATTAGAATAAATAGAGAGCAAAATCAGATTTCTTGGGATCATGGGAGATCTACATTGTGCTAGGGAGACAGATCTCTCTCTGATTAAAGAATCATTGTTTAAGGTAAGATTGCAATGGTGATGGGTGTCTATGCTGCTGTGACAGGCTTGGGTATAACCAAGGATTTGATTAGAAATCTGTTAACAAGATGAAACCTGGTTTTTTTGAGACAGGGTTTCTGTCCTGGAACTTGCTCTGTAGACCATGCTGGCCTCAAACTCACAGTGATCCCCCTGCCTCTGCCTCCCGAGTGCGGAGTTGAAGGCCTGCTTCCACCAACGCTCAGCATTTCTTTTCTTACTCTTATCCCATTTTCTTTACAGGTGGGCAATTAATTTTACTTTGTACCATAAATGATGATAAAACAATCATTCAGAGGCTTGACATTAATTATAATTGCTTGGCCAATGACTCAGGCTTATTACTGGCTAGCTCTAAAATATAAATCAACCAATTTCTAATAATTTGTGTATCGACAAGTGGCTTTGTAGTATGTTCTCTAGTACATCTTACTGCGCTAGTGGCTTGCTGGCTTTTCTCCCTACCTTTCATCTGTATCTTTGCTTGGATTTCCTGCTTAGCTATATTCTGCCCTACCATTGGCCAAAGCAGATTTATTCATCAACCAATAAAAAACAACACATATTTGCAGCATACAGGACATTCCACATCCATTTTGTTTTATTTTAGTTTCATTTTTTTTGAGAGTGTCTCACTATGTAGCCTTGGCTGGTCTGGAGCTCACTGTGTAAACCAGGCTGCCCTTGAACTCAAGAGAGCCTAGCCTGCCTGTTTCTACATCCCGAATGCTGGGATTGAAAGTGTGGCTCACTATGGCTGGCTAAGTAATGAGTTTGTGAGAACCTGTTTTTCTGGCTTCAGACAACTGATAGGTTCAGTTTTGAGACGGGTATGATAAAAAGATATTGGGTCAAGTTAAGGGTATTGGGTGAGAAAGTTGGACAAGAGAAAATGAGATGGTTGGGGAAAGTACTTATTGATCCTGATGTCTGCCAGCCAATAGCAAGATGCGAGGGAAGGATATGGTCGGGTGCAGGCTCTTGAATGTATGGAGGTTCAACAGATTTTGGTGATGAAAAAACCCAAGATGAGGTGGAAAGAAGGTCATTGACACAGTCCAGGATTATGGAAAATGCTTAGGTGGAAACAATGTGGGGAAGTTTAGGAATGATGATGCAAACCTGTAACAAAGCCACATCTCAAAGTGCACGTTGACATAAAGCCAAGCTGACTACTCACTGAGCCATCAAGCATTTAGTACAGCTGACCTGGAACTCACTCTGTAGACTAAGATGGCCTCGAACTCAGAGAACTGCCTGCCTGTACCTCTTGAGTGCTAGGGTTCAAGGAATGCCCCACACTTAATGCCCCTGGCTTTTAAATAGGTTTTGTTTTTGTTTTGAACTCTCATCTTTAGAGACAGGTGATGGGTGTTCTAGAATGCATGTCTCCACTTTTGTCTATTTGAAAATTTCCATTAACAAAGTTCCTGAAAGCACCATTGGCCAATTGTTGGATTAAAGGCATGTACCACCATGCCCAGCTACACATGTGCAATGGCACTTACATGTAACTCATCAGATAGCTTTGGAGAGTTGGTTCTTCCTTTCTATCATGTGGGTTTCAGGGATTAAATTCAAACGACTAGGCTAGATGACAAATACTTTTAAGACAATGGTTCTCAACCAATGGGGGTCAAATGACTTTTTCATAGGGGTTGCCTAAGATCATCAAAAAAGTTATGTATATCATGATTTGAAACAGTAGCAAAATTAGTTATGAAGCAACAGTGAAAATAATTGTATGGTTGGGGATTGCTACAATACAAAGAACTGTATTAAAGGGCTGTGTTATTAAGGTTAGAAACCACTGCATTAAGCCATCTTGCCAGCTCAGGAACTGTCCTGGAACTCACTCTGTCGACCAAGCTGGCCTTGAACTCAGAGATCTGCCTGCCTCTGTCTCCGGAGTGCTGGGATTAAAGGAATGCTCCACCATGGCTGACAAAACATTTATTCTCATAAATGTTCACATGTCCAAAATGATACTTAGAAGGTCATATCCCAGCATTTGGTAGACCAGGATTTGAAAGTTACTCTGGCTGGGTGTTTAGAAACCCCAAGTACAGGACTGGAGAGATGGTTCAAGGTTAAGAGTGTCACCTGTTCTTCCAGAGGACCCAGCATTCACATGGTAGCTCATGACTGTTTCCAACTCCTATTTCAGGGGACCTAACATTCTCACACAGACATACATGTAGGCAAAACATCAATGCACATTTAAAAAAAAAAAAAAAATTCAAGATGTCTGTTTTTATAGGAAAAGTCCTTTAATCATTATGTAGAACTTCATAGGTGACTTATGAATACAGTTGTTGTGGGAAGGAAGCAAGGAATGATGGGAGATAGCTGTCAGCAGGAACAGTTACTTCCAGGAAATGTGACTCATGAGCACACCATGATCAGAAGCAGGTATGCTTTACCGCTAAACTTTCCTTTGTTAACTGGAAAACACCTCTCAGGCATCTTTCTTAATTTTTATGAGGATTCAGATACATAAATTACCCAGTGTTTACTTAACTTGGCTATTATTTAAATGCTATCACAACTATAAACTCCATTGGGGCAGTACCAGTTCTTGGTACCATCGCTGATCAAGTAACAAGAATAGAATGAATGACAACTGGCAGTACTCCAAATGGATGGAATGTGCCGACCACGCTAAGGTGGCTGCTGAGTTAGAGGTAATGTTCAGGAATGTGATCTGAGGCAGGCATAGCCAGAAACAACAATTCCTCACAGCTAGCAGAGCATGTACGAAAAGGAATCCAGAAATCTGCTCTTTTCAGGCAAGAGCAACGAGTTTGGGAGGGGCTGGTACATCATTCCCCCAAACCGGTGCCAAGCACAGTGGCACTCATTTGGGAGGCTGAAGCTAGAGAATCTTGAGTTCAGGGCCAGCCTGTGCTATAGAATGAAAGCCTGTCACACAAAGCCAAAGAATGAAGGAAAAGGGGATATAAAGTCCTGTTCAGAGCTCAGAATGAGAGAATGAGGGACAGCATGGCGATGCTCACTGGGAAGGAATGTCAGAAGTTTGCCCACCCCTGTACTGTCAGCTGTCCCTGGAGCCAGAGGCTGCTTGCTAGAGACTCGTGTGAATTTCAAGAACTCAGAGCAGCTTCTGCAAGGGCAAAGCTAAAGCGGGCAATGCAGCCAAAGAGATGTCTCCAGCATTTGGTTCTTGTCTGTCCCAGACACTTCTGGAAGTCAGGTGGGGATACTCCGGAAAGCAATGGGGAAAGGGGCAGCAGACTCCAAGGATGAGCTGTGTACGGGGTGATCATGAAGCCTCCTCAGCACTTGTCTTCCTGGGTCCAGTTCCAAGCGTTGACGAAGAGCTGCAGCCACGGGGAGGTAGCAAGAGCATCAAAGGGAGAGGGCCGCCAAGCCCACTGCCAAGGTCTCACAGCCCGCTCAGGGTGTGGCATGAGTGCCAGATGACGACCATCTTGGGAGCAGACGCCAGCTATGCCCCCTGGAGATCCATTGGGGTTCAAGGGGTACTTCTCTGTGGGGTTCCCATCATCATCTGCCCAGTGCAGAGGAACCAAGCCCCTGGCCTCAACCTCGGCTTGAAGTTTAGGAGAAGAAAATGCCATGTAACCTGGAAGTAAGGGAAAAAGGAAAATGAAAGCCAAGCTTCTTCGGGCCCAGCCCTCACAGCCCACCCCTGCTTTCCTCAGCCTGACCTTCCCCATGAGCACTCCACACAGGCAGCACAGAGCCTTCCATCCCTCGAAGCATCAGGGCCGGCCCGGGCTCCACACGCACAGTGGCCCATCGGGACTCATACCGCCCAGATAGATTGTGGCGGAGCAGGAGGCCAGGCCGTGCTGGTTGGGAGACCTGGCTTGGCTCCTCTTCCTCTTCACGGGGGTTACCTCCCACCCAGCCCAGAAGAGCCAGCAGCTGACAGCCATTACACACTCCAAGGCTGAAGGTGTCTGGCCGCCTGCGGAAGCGTCCCAGCTCTTCCCTGGCCCGTGGATTAAAGGTCACTGCAGCTGCCCAACCTAGTAAAAAACAGTTAAATCAAAGCAAGATGTAAACAACTTGAGAAAAGCAGAAGCAGGGAACGAAGGGCAACAACAGACTTCTAGCAATCAGGTCCTTTCTTGATTCTTGAGGGAAGAAATAGCCTCAATGCTTCAATCAGATAGCCTGACAAGGGATCCATGGTCTTTTTTATGCTATGCCAATTTTATTTTTATTCTATTTTATTTTTTTTATTTTATGTTGTTGTCTAAGACTCAATAGTGAGATTTCAGTTGGATTTACACCTGTAGTCCCAATACTTGGAAAGCTAAAGTGGGTAAACAGCTTCTAGGACTACTCTGTGAGTTTGAGTAGCTTAGGCTTCATGAAACTCTATCTCACTGGAAAAGAAAAAGAGTCCACACACAAAAAGGCTGAACTTCTGGCCTCTCTTGTGGTTGTGGTGAACTACCGTCCCACAGGACAGGACAGTCTGATAAAGCTGATCAGCAAGCTGACCCTTCAGATGAGACATATGCCCACCAGGCTTGTACAGCCTCATTTCAAGTATCCTTAGTCCTTCTGCTGGCCCTTGTCCTGAACCACAGCACTCTGATTGGCTTTGAGGGCCTGACAAGCTAGCTCCAGCCTACACAGATGGAGCCAAAGACATCTTTTCAAGGAATGTGGAAGAGTCTGGGAAACAATAAGCTGATGGATGTTTATTCGGGGAGAAATCACTTACACTAGAAACAGATGACCATCACAGGTTCCCATCCCAAGGATGCCTCCAGATGCTCTCTGTCCAGCCAGGATGCAAGAACGCGAACTGTGGTCCAGGACCCCAGACCTAGTCTCCCCTGGTCACACCTGCACCTGTCCCCATGCCCCAATGGGCATGGTCAGTGCAGCAGGTGCGGGCGGGGTGGATATCTCACTACAACACTGACCTTTGGCAGAGCCCAGAACATCTGCGTAGCTGAAGCCACCCACAAAGGCCACACCTCGGAATGTGTCCAGCCCGATGGCCCCAGAGCATAGATCCTGCATGGTCACATCCCACACCTAATAGGACAGGGAGGAAACTGTCAGAGGACATACATACAGCCAAGACTAGATCAGGAGCTCCAACTCTGCGAGCCACTGTGCTTACCTCAAATCCAGCCAAGTGAAAGGCATCAGCCATCTCTCGGTCTCCATTACTGCCCTCTTCTCGCAAGATGGCAACTCGGGGGATGGGACCACCTGGAAGATGTATTTCTGAGTAGATGGTTATTTACCCATCCAAACTCCCAGATACCTTTCCCATAGCAGCTCCCAGCAGCCAAACCTGTGCACATTCCCTTACCTGGTTTACAGGGCACAGAGGCAATGGGGAAGGTAGGTGGTAGGTGGTAGCGGGGTCCTGTACGCTCCTGTAGGCCCTGCTTTTCTTCTGCCACACAGCGTGGCTCCGCCTGCAGCAGGTCCAGCTGGAAACTTGTTTCTTCCCAGAGGGCTCTCAACTGCCCAACAGGCTCCTCTACAACTACAGCCCCATTCACTGACACTCGGACCTGGAGAGAGTGTGGCCTCATGGTAGTTTCAGAGGGTTATTTTCTTACAGGCTCACATTAACACTACACTCTTCATTGGCCCCCTCACCATGGCCTGGGGTCCAGCCTCGCCTGTGTGGCCCAGTTCCAGACATTGTAGGCCAGCACCCTGGTACCGCAGCAATACTCCGGCTACATCTGCCTCCTGTACCTCCAACACCAGACCTGGCTCCTCCGCAAACAGCACAGGCAGCGCTGGAAGGGAAATAGGGGAGAGTCAGGATGACTAGGATGCTGCCAGGACTCAGATGGGACAGGATCTGGGGGTGGAACTATGAGAAGTCTTAGAAAGACACAGTTCGGAACATGAAGAAAGCATGGAGGAGACAGCAAGGGTCAGAGAAAGGGTCAGTGCTGTTGGGCCACAAGGCTACCCACATTCTTTACACCAGAAGGTCTATAAGTAAAGAAGGCAGCCCAGGCCTCCTGCTAGACCCCAAGCTCCTCACCATCAATCCCAGGGGCAGGCACATCCACCTCTATCCCACAATTCCCAGCAAAGGCCATCTCTAGCAGGCAGGTGACAAGTCCTCCATCGCTGACATCATGGCCTGAGCAAAGATGGCGGTCTGGAGGAAGAAGGAAAGGTTAGCCATCTCAGGCCGAGCCTTATAGCTCCATAGCATCTGGAGAGCCAATGAGTGTGAAAAGGAAGGCAGGCACTCAAAAGCGTGAAGAGCCTGAACCCTAGGCACACCACGTTCACTTGTTCAGAGGCGAGCACCTGCCACAGGTCTGCTACCACATACGAGACCCACTCACCTTTCAGCAGCCCCTGGGTGATACAGAAGGCACGCACGAGGTTCTCAGGAAGGTCCAGGTCAGGAGGGTGTTCCCCAAGCTGAGAGAAACACTGGGCCAGAGCTGTGCCTCCCAGCCGGTGCTGCCCAGGGCTCAGAGGTACATAGAGCAGATGACCTAAGGAGACAAGGGTAAATCCCCTGCCTTAGTATTCACAGCACACAGAGACACCACCAACTGCCAGTCCTAGAATGACAACACAGCTCAAGGCTGAAATGAGGGGGGCCAGGACTCATGAAGTAGACCCCAAACTAAGGACCAAGCCTAGAATATATCCGAGATTAAGGAAGATGAAGCCATACCTTTCCCTCCAGGATGCTTGAGGTCTGGGGTCACAGTGGCTGTGATGTCTGGACAGACAGCATATGCTGAAATGACCAGGGACCCTACCAGGCAAGGAGGAATAAAACTAAGTAAGGTGCCGGCCCAGCCCCTAGAACCTCCGTCCCTCTCCCAAGGGTCTCATCCTTACCAGGAGCCCGCACCGTCTCAGTGCCAACCCGGGCAGCCATGCTGAGGGAATCCTTGCCACCATCTACTGCCACGCCCAGTGCTGCCATCACTGTCACCATAGCCTCACAGGCGTCAGCCAGAGCTGCACCCTCACCCGGGAGCTTGGCTGCCCACATCCAGTTCCCACTGCACTTAACATCCTGGGAACGGTAGGAACACGGACATGGCATTGGAGAGAAAGAGAGATGCAGAGGGCCCGGGAAAGAGGGAGAGTGACTTACAGACACAAAGGCCTACAACTGCAGGGCAGAAGCTAGGGAGGACTTACTCGGAGATCAGTCACCAGAGCAAACACCAGGTTGGTGAGGGCTTCAGACACAGCTAGCCTGGCAGCAACCTTGGGATCCAGCAGGCTCTTGACTGGCTGCTCTCCCAAGGCTGTGGCGGCCCCTATGAGGTCCTGGTGGCTCAGCGCCACAACAGCCACATCAGCCAGAGGAGTTTGCAGGGGCCCGACACATTGCTGTTGGGCCACAAGGCCACTCACAGAGCGATCCACCTATGGAACCAGAAGTAATTGGAAAGAAAGCAAGGGTCAAAGAGGGCTGGCTATGGCCGGAACTACAAGCAAGAGAATACAGAGGATGCTACGCTTCCCAACCCCTTCTTTCCCAGAGCCTAGGGAACCCCAGGGGTGGGTAGGCAGGGAACAGTGCAGAAGGCCAGTGTAGTGCACGGAGGACCTTGTTGGTGAGGTAGCGCTTGCTGGCCACAGCAGGCAGCCTTAGAACTCGAGCCAGAGCCTGGCGCACACTCAGCTCCGGGGGCAAGACTAGAGGCTGCAGCACAGGGGGTTCCCTCTGGAGGAAGAACTCCTGTAATTGAAGAGTGGTCCAATACAGCACCTGGGAAGGGCTGAGTCCACCGGTGACAAACAGAAAGGAAGGCCACAGGAAAACACTCTCCCAGTCCTGGCCACATACCTTTTGAGGCATCTTTCCCAGAACCCAGTCAAGCTCCAGGTCCACAGGGGTTGGAGAAGGTGTCAGGGAGGCATCTCCCTGGCCACTTTTCCCCACAGGACACTCTCGATCATCCACAAGTGTGATCTGTAGATGCCAGGGACAGCCCCCACAGAAAATGAGACCCTGAACACCAGCTGGGAATGTGCCTAGAGAGCAGGGAAAGATGTTCCCACCCTGTCTGGCTTCCTCAGTTCCTCCTCTCTCCCAACCCCTACTCTGTTCCCAACTCCTTCTATGCCCAGTTTCTATTCAATTTCATTTTGTTCCCTCAACATTTCTCCCCCAAGCCCATGTACCCAGGCAGCTCGGACCTGCCTACAGCACCTGCTCCTGACCACTGGGGCCAACTCACTCTCTTGTCTCCAGTGATTGTGCCCACAAAACAAACTGGGCAGCGTTCCCGAGCACTGACACGATTCAGGAAGTCCTTGTCAGAGGGCCTCAGCAGCAGTGCATTTGACTCCTGGTACTCAGCTCCCCAGATTTCCAGTGCATTCAAGGTTGGGTCACCCAGCTGCGCAGACACGGCAGGGAAGAAAAAGAAGGGTTAGTGGGCATTGCCTTACCTCACAGTATGGCTAGGAATGGGTTAGAGATAGTCAGGCTTCAGGGATGAGACCTATGCACCTGGAAGCGGCTGGTATAAATGATGGCTCCTGCTGGGTCACTCAGCTCCTTTAGGACATTGCCTGGGGAGAAAATGGCAGGAAGAGGTAGCAACTGGTCACGGTCAGCCCCAGGAGAACAAAGGGAGTTTCTGGTCTCCAGAGCAGGGCCTAATTCTGTATGTCCCTGAAGAGCTGTCGCTATACACTTACCATCTACCTCCCATGGCAGCAGAAGCTTCTACCCCTCCACCCCTGAGCCTGGCCAGCATGTAGTGGGCATGAAAAAGGAGCTCTAGAACTCCGTGGCTGGCTGCAAATCCTCAAAGCTCCCTAAACCAAAGCCGACAGAAGACCCAGTCTCTTGTTCTGACCACTTTCCTCACCATTGCCACCAGCACCCTGGTCATGGAGGCTGCAGATGGGGTTTCCTCTTGGGGCTTCCACACAAGCCCGGATTACACGATTCATCTTCTGCTCCATTTCTGGATCTCCCCGTTGCACAGCTCCAAAGTCCAGGTCACTGGTGTTGTCTCCCTGAACCTGAGGAAGCCCAGGGCATAGCTCACTCAGAGGCTCACAAGCTCACCATGCACCCCACAGGGGGCCCGGTGACAAAGTTGGCCTCCTTAACTGTTCTCACTCACCTGCACAGATGAAGCCGCTCCGCCTCCAACTCCGATCCTGTAGACGGGGCCCCCAACCTTTACAACCTCCATGCCTGCAAGGAAGTAAGTTTGAACCGGAAGCCATCAAAGTCAGGCAAAAAGAGTACAGAAGAGACTGATGTGGGGGAACAGGACCACACAATCCACTGGGCAGAAGGGAGAGAACCATATAACCTATGGAGGACAATGTGACAATAGCGAAAGTTAGAGAGATGCAGAGTTAGAGATGGCTCCGTGCTTAAGAGCACCAGCACTCTCGAAGAGGACCTGGATTCAGTTCTCAGCACAGACAGGGCAGCTCACAACTGCTCTCACTTCAGTTTCAGACGATCTGACACCCTCTTCTGGCCTTGGTGCGCACTGTACACTCAGTGCATTTACAAACAAACAGGCAAAACAGTCATATGCATAAAGTACAAATAAATAGTTCTTTTAAAGTTACCAACACACCTATTCTCTAATAGGAAAACACACATCAGGAAATTTAGCCTATAGTTTCATTCAGGCACAAAATCATCTACAGGAATCAATACAAGGCTTCACACATAGACTGGAAGGCAATACTGTTACAATGGCAATCAATACTCCCCACAACTTATTTGTAGATTCAACATAGTGCCTATCACAGTCTTTGCTTTCTCACAAATTGATAATTTGATTTTAAAATGTATAGGAAATATGAGGCCTAAACCAATCTAGACAATCTTTTATTGTTATCATTAAAAAAAAAAATAGGTTTATCAGTAGGTGGTAATGACACACACCTTTAATCCCAGCACTCAGTAGGTAGAGGCATGTAAATCTCTGAGTTTGACGCCAGCCCGGTCTACAAAACTACTTCCAGGACAGCAAGGGATGCACAGAGAAACCCTGTCTTGAAAAGCAGAGGGAATCGGATGATGGTGGCTCACGGCTTTAATCTCAGCACCCGGGAGGCAGAGGCAGGTGAATCTCTGTGAGTCTGAGGCCAGCCTGGTCTACAGAGTATGTGCCAGGATAGGCTCCAAAGCCACACAGAGAAACCCTGTCTAAAAAAGAAAAGAAAAGCGGGGATGGGGGCAAGAGCTTTCTCTTTAGTTATCTAGATGTGTGTATGTATAGGTGCCCATAGAAGCCAGAAGAGGGTGTCAGATGCCTGGAGCTGGAGCTGGAGCTAGAGCTAGAGCTGAGGCAGTCATGATCTCCTGACATGGGTGCAAGGAATCAAACTTGGGTCCTCTGCAAAAGCAATACTCACACACACTCTTTTCTCAAGACAGGGTTTCTCTGTAGCTTTGAAGCCTGTCCTAGAACTCACTCTGTAGACCAGGACAGCTTCGAATTCAGAGTTCTGCCTGCCTCTGCCTCCTGAGTACCGGGATTAAAGGTATGCACCACTATTATCCGTTACAATACACACTCTTAACAGCAGAGCCATTGCTCCAGCCTACTCAACAATCTTAAATAAGGTCAAAACCCAAAGTCTATTTTCTGTATTTATTTATGCTACCAGGGCTAAACCCAGAGCTTTATGTTTCATTAGCCAACTACTCACAACCGAGCCACATTTTCAGCTCTCTTTGTTTCTAGAACTTACTATAATGCTTCAGTAATAAAAAAAAAAAAAGTAGTACTAGCATTAAGGGCAGATATAAATCAATAGAACCATCCATCCAGAAATGAACTTACATGTCTATAGTCAATTGACTTAGTGTGTGTAGCTGGATACTGAACCCAAGGCCTTGCATATCCCAGGAATGTGCTTTACTACTGAGATACATCCCAACTACTGCCAAATGACCTTCCTACCTTCCTTCCTCTGAATTTTGCTTTTTTGAAACAAGGGTCTTGCCTTGTAGAAGACTAACCTCAAAATGAAGATCCTTCCTACTTCAATCTCCCTAAGTCCTAGAATTATAGATGCCCATAACCACAGTCAGTTGCCATTGGTTTCCCTACCCTCTGATATCAAGATGCCTTTGAGCAATATCCCTAGTCTCTGCCAACTGACTTCTAAATAGAATATAAAGACAATTCAACCAGGAAGAATTATCTAAAGCACACTGGATAACACAGGTAAAAAAAGAAATGCACCTGAAGGGCTATCACAATAGCTTATCACTTAGCATTCTTCCAACAGACCTGAATTTGGTGCTTAGCATCATGTTAGGCAGCTCACAACCACCTGTAACTCTAGCTTCCATGAATACTCACATGCATGAAGCATACACACACACACACACACACCCCTACCTTTTAAAAACTAAGATATTGGGGGGTGGGGGAAGAAGCCAGGTGTGGTGGCACATGCCTTTAATCCCAACAGTTGGGAGACAGAGGCAGGTGGATCTCTGTGAGTTCTAGGCCATCCTGGTCTGCATGGGGAATTGAAGGAGTTACAGCCAAAACAACATAGTGACACCCTGCCTCAAAAAACCTAAAGAAAGTGCTCATTTTCGTAGCATACATAGTAAAATTGGAAAAATACAAAAAGATGAGCATGGTCCCTACACAAAGATGACATTCAAATTAGGGGAATATGATATATATCATATATGCCAGTAACAACAATTAATGATGGGAAGGGAGGAATGACATAATTTTATTATACTCTCAAAAAATCAAGTCATAAAATTTGTTTTGTTTTGTTTTTCAAGACAGGGTTTCTCTGTGTAACCCTGGCTCTCTAGAACTTGATCTGTAGACCTGGCTGGCCTCAAACTCTGAGATATGCCTGCCTCTTCCTCCCAGGTGCTGGGATTAAAGGCGTACATCACCTCCACCCAGCTAAAAATAAAAATATTAAGAGAAAAGATGTGCGGGGCTGGAGAGATGGCTAACAGTTAAAACCACTGACTGCTTTCCCAGAGGTCCTGAGTTCAATTTCCAGAAATTACATGGTGGCTCACAAACATCTATAGTGAAATTTGGTGTCCTCTCCTGGCACGAAGGCATACACGCAGGCAGAACAATGCATACATAATAAATAAATAAACTCTTTTAAAAGAAGAAAAAAAGGTATGTGTATGTTTTAGAAAGAAAGGTGTGGACCAGGCAGTAGGGGCACACTCCTTCAATCTCAGCACTCTGGAGGCAGAGGCAATGGATCTCTGTTTGAGGCCAGCCTGGTCTACAGAGCGAGTTCCAGGACAACCAGGACCACACAGAAAAACCTGGTCTCAAAAAACAAAAAAAAGAACCAGGGTAGTAGTGGCACACATCTTTAGTCCCAGCACTCGGAAAGCAGAAGCAGGCAGATCTCTGTGTGTTTGAGATCAGCCTGGTCTACAAGAGCTAGTTCCAGGACAGCCTTCAAAGTCACAGAGAAACCCTGTCTCAAAAAACCAAAAAAGGAAAAGAAAGAAAAAAAAAAAAAATATGTGAATGGCTTTATTTACTTTTTAAAGTAAGTAGACACCTGGATATGGCTACATATACAGGAAACACCACAGGCAGGACCCAAAGTAACTGAGTAACGGTGTATGGGGGATAGGATCTGGAGCCAGAGGAAGTAGTTTCACCTCCCTAACCTCACCTTTGGAAGTATGTGTGCATATCTGACAGGGTTCCAGAGTGCTGGGCTCAAACCCAATACATAGCAAAGAATGACCTTGAATGTCTAATCCTCTAACTCCAGAGTGCTAGCATTATAGTCATGTACCACAACCTCTGGTTAATATGGTTCTAGGAATCAAATCCAAGGCTTATATGCATGTGAGTCATGCTCCATACAGAATTTTAGGCTTTATCTCCAGTCCATCCTTCTAAGGTTCGAGCCACATCATTAAATCACCTAGTTGGTCGACAGGATCTAGACTTTTTGTTTTATCACTGAAGGGACTCCAGCCAGCTCGAGCATGGCGAGCATGGCTCCAGCAGGCCTTATTCTCCTCTCGCATTCCCCCCACCTTGCCAAAACCCATTGGATTACATTCCTAAAGCTGCCACCAAGGTCTAGTCCCTTATTTGGCCACTTCCTCCTCCTGAGGCTGACTGCCAAACTCCAGCTATTGCAGTATAGAAAGAAGTCCAGCAATCGGAAACCCCTTTGGCTCACCTAATTAATATATCAAATTAAATTAATACCTCATCCTAACACAGGGTTTCCCAATTTACCTTTATAAACCATCATTTGCCTATGGGCCACATCTGTTTCCTCTCTACTCAGAGGCAGTCCCACTGGGACAAAGATCTCTGCCCATTTTTGCTTGTCCCCTTCCCCTTATTCCTCATCCTTTATCTTTTACCACTGCATCCTAGCCCATTTTAACACAGACCTCCTCTTCTTCTCTGCTTAAAAATGACACTGGCAAGGTCATTTGCTGCTGTTTTTCTGCCTAAGTCAGAAAGCAGCCACTTTAACTTTTCTTCTCTGCTTAATAAAGGATCTCTATGAAAACAAGTGTTTGGGTGTAGTTTGTGCCTAATCTGGGCCTGGGAGGGAATGCCTGGAGTCCCCTTCAATCCCTATCTATCTATCTATCTATCTATCTATCTATCTATCTATCTATCCATCCATGTATTTGCCTGCAAGCATGAATGTGCATCATGTATGTGCCTGGTGCCCACAGAGGTCAGATCCCCTAGATGGAACAGGAATCACTAGTTGGAACAGGAATCATAGATGGTTATGAACCACCATGGGATGTTGGGAATTGAGCACAGGTCCTCTGTGAGAGCAACCAATATTCTTAAACTTTGAGCCATCTCTCCAACCCTTTCCTTTTCTTAATTCCCGTGTGTGTGTGTGTGTGTGTGTGTGTGTGTGTGTGTGTGTGTGTGTGTCTTAAGCAGGCAGATACCAGAGTACTATGATATCTATGTGGAGGTCAGAGGACAACTTTCAATTGTCAGTTTTCTCCCTTCATGAGTTTCAGAGGCTGAACTCAAGTCATCAGGCTTGCTTGGCAAATGTCTACCCACTGAGCCATCCAACTAGTCTGGGTCTTTGACTTTAATCACAATTCTAAATATAATCATCCAGCACACAATTGGTGGGTACTCAATAAGATAAAAGTACTGAGCAGAAAGCAGGTCTAAATATAAACACTGGCTTCAAAGACTTAACACAGGGTTAGTGGTGAGGGCCCCTGCAATACACAAGTACACTTGGAAGAGATAAAGACCACAAAGACTGAGAATGCCCACCTAACAGAAACTAGCCCCTGTATATCTTCACAGTTCCCTCCCTGTGGGCGCCCATGCTGGGAGGAAGCTGGTTAAATGCAGAGAAGGGTGCTGGCTCTTACCTGGCTCCGGGGGTTCTTTGCCCACATGCTTGGCTTCTATGGACCCAATGCCCCCACTAAACATGATGGGCTTGATCCACTCCCGCCGCTTACCACCTGGAAGCTGCAGACCCAAAGATCGGGCAAACCCTAGTGTGGAAGTGAAGAGGTTAAGTCCCACGGCATTTGCAACACCACAGCCCCTGGGCCTCACCACACCCACAAGCCCCTTTGGAGTGTGTTATTCTTTCTTATACGCCCCAAGGCTCACCAGCCAGCACAGGTTCTCCAAACTTGTTGCCATAGTCAGATGCTCCATTGCTGGCTTCAATAGCAACTTCTAAAGGTCTGGCAAAGTTCCCAGGATACTGGAAGCTTGGATCCTCCCACGGCAGATTATAACCTGAGATGGAAAGATAAGGTGCTGGCCATCACCATGGGCGCTTCGCACAAGCGTAGATACTTTAACTACTAAGCCATCCCTACAGCCACTTCTTGCTTTCCAAAACAGTTTTTCTGGCAGCCCCAGCAGTCCTAGAACTTACTGGGCAGACCAGACTGGCCTCAAACTCAAGTTTCACCTGCCTCTACTCCTCCCCCAAGTACCGGGACTAACGGTGTGCACCAACACTGCCCAGCAACCCTCCCCCCGCTTTTTAAACAAGATTTTTATCATTTTATAAAATGACGTGTGTAGTGATATTTTGTCTGTGACCTAACAAATAAAGCTTTCCTGAAGATCAGAGTGCAGAGAAAAGTCACTAGTTAGCCAGAGGCCAGGCAGTGGTGGCACACACCTTTAATCTAGACACCAGGGAGAGGCAGATGGATCTCTTGTGAATTCAAGGCCACCCTGGGCTACATGAGATTGAATCTGCCTAAAAGAAAAACATAGCTCACACAAAGGTGATCCCAGCATTGGGATCGAATGTCTTTAATCCCAGCACTTGGGAGGTGGAGAGAGGAATGATATGGCTGGACATAGAGGGGACTAAAAGGCAGGAGAAGACAGAGAAAGAGAGAGCGAGCGCATTCAGTCTGAGAATTTGTGGAGAAAGGATGGCTCAATTGGTCTGAGGTAGAGGTAAGAGCTAGTGGCTGGCTACTTTGCTTCTCTGATTTTTTACCTTCCTCTCCCTAATATATGACTCCATGTTTTTATTATTAGAGCTTCTCCTGCAACAGTTGTATATATGTGTGGGTATCTGTAGAGGACAGAGGTATTACACCCCCATCTTGAGCTTGAGTTACACAGGGACTTGTGAACCCAACCACCAACCTGGGACCAAACTCAAGCCCAGTAACACACTTAATTACTAAACCATCTCTCCAGTCCCTGTTGTAGAAGTTTCTTTGGATATTGAAACATTCCATCCTCAGAGCAGCTCTTTAACTAAGAAGGTTCAAAAAACAACAACAAAACAAAAAACGACTTGAAGCCCCACTAGATCCCTCCCTGCTACAGCAAGCAATAGAAGCTAAGAGTTCCTCTCTGACTGAACTAAGCTGCAAAGACTGAGGCCAGACCAGCTGCCTGGGAGAATCAGAAACCAGAAGCGCTTCCTGGAAGAGGTTTAGGTCAGAGCCACTTGTAATGGCTTACACTCCAACCTGCTGAGCGGCATGCTCCATATGTCCCAGCTTCTGTCACCCATGCCACCTATGCTGGGATGGGCCTTGGTAATGCAGCTGTCTTTGAGTCTGTTCCTATAACTCCTGACCCAAACTCTTATAAATAATAGCAATAAAGTTCATTGGTTCACCACATTGGGCTACAGTGGAATCTGTACTTTGGTCTGTTGTGGGGTGAATACATGTGTTTGTTGCTTCTTCCCAGGAGGAGTTTTTTTTTTTTTTTTTTTTTTTTTTTAACACAACAGCTCCTCAGTCTCTGAAGATTCTCTAAGAAACTGGATTTAGTGGGCAAGTATTGATCATAAAATAATCGGCCTCCTGTTTTCTACCTATGTGAATGCTGGTTTTGAAAGAGAATTGTACATTTCCAAAGGCAATCTGGCAATCTCCAAATCTCTGAATTTACACTGCTCATGTTCACGGTGAGCAAAAACTGACTATTGTGGAGCTTCCCCCTCACTCCCAGATGACCTTTAGACCTAAGAGATTTAAGTGTTGGTGCCCACCAGGATAAAAGGAAGGTGGTTAGAGAAGAAGAAGAACCTGGGATGTGCAGGTTTCCAAAGCAATAGCCAGCAGTGCCAGCTACCACATGGGCCCCACGACCTGTGCACTGGACATCTCTGATGCGGCCACCTGTTCCTGTAGTTGCACCACTGAAGGGGGCCACTCCTGCAAAGAGAAAGCAAAGGAGATATGGGTGACACAGAGGTAAAACCCATCCCTAGCTGGGTGGTGATGGTACACACCTTTAATCCCAGCACTCTGGAAGTGGCAAGTGGATCTCTGCGAGTTCAAGGTCAGCCTGGTATACAGAATGAGTTCCAGGACAGCCAAGGCTACACAGAGAAACCCAGTCTCGAAAAAACAATAAAAAAAAAACCACACCGGCGCACAGGGACTCAACTCACCTGTGGGGAAGTTATGTGTCTCTGCTGTGAAGACAACATGTCTAAGCCCCTGTTGTTGCCGGAAGCAGCTTGGTTGTGTAGGGTCCTCAGGCTGTAAGAATCGGACTTCCTTCCCCTGGATTGCACTATGAACACAGCCACCCTATACTGGTTTTTTTTTCCCCCCAAAAGTCATGCCAATCCAACCAGGGTCCAAGGCTTCCCTTGTCTCCAACCCAAGACCCCTTCAGCCCAAAGCATATCCCACCTGCTGTTGTCACAGAACTTGAGGACATTGTTGGGGTTTGAGCATGCCTGAGTGCTCATGATGGATTCAAACAGGGAATGTACTAGCTTCTTCCCGTCCACATGGAGCTGGCCCTTGAAGAACCAATGTCGGCTGTGCTCACTGCAGAAGTGACAGGAGGGCAAGGCACAAAAACATGGGCCATTCTTCAGTGCTTCACCTTCTCAACAGCATTCACAGACAAGCCATACTTAGGAGATGTCAAAGTTCATCCCAGAAAACCATTATGTATTCTACCACTGTAGCTTACTAAAAACCACAGTAAGATAAAACCAAATCTTAAAAGTAGACTCCTAGAAGGTTAAGGAGGCCAGACCCTCAAGAGATGCAATGAGAGCACAGAAGATACATCTTTTTCTTTAAGATTATTTATTTATTTAGTGTGTGTTCTGTCTGCATGTATACCTGCATGCCAGAAGAAGGCACCAGATCTCATTATAGATGGCTGTGAGCCACCATGTGGTTGCTGAGAATTGAACTCAGAACCTCTGCAAGAGCAGCCAGTGCTCTTAACTACTGAGCCATCTGATCTCTAGGGCCCAGAAGATGCATTCTTGTGGTATTCCCTTCCAGCCTCCAAGGGCTAAGGCAGCAGAGAATGGCATTCCTCCTCACCTATTGGACTGAGCCAAGTCAAAGGCCTCCACTGTACTGGGGTTCCGCTTCAGTTCTTGAAAGCGCTTAGTATAGAAATCCAGGTCCCAGGAGTCAAAGGCCAGACCTAAGGGACAAACCCTAGAGGAGCTGACAGCATGCCTCAGACCACCATATTCTGTATCTCAGTAGTCCTGCTGAACTATACCAGGCCCTTCCCTTCATCTCCCGTGAACACCTACTCACCTAGCTCCTGGTTGGCTTTCTCCAGGGCAAGCCGACCCTCAGCTAATATGTCGATGGAGCCACTGGGTGGGGCTGGGATGCTTTGAGGGGAGAAGCTCTGAATGGGGTCAGGGTAGTACTGTTCTGTCATCCGGTCATGCAAGGCAGCTAGAGAAATGACCTTCATCTCAGGCGTAGGGTTGTGGCCAAACTAGTGGGAAGACAACAGCCGGAGTTAAACTGAGAGAAAGGATGCATTTCTGGACCTTCAAGTTATTCACCCCATTACTACCATACAGTACCATTTTCCCATTCTACTGTACATATTAAGACCAGGGTTTGTATCTGCTAGGTAAATGTCCTACCACTAAGCCCACAGAGCATGTTTATTTAGACTAAGAGAAAAATAAAAAGAATAAAACACAAAAATCCCCCTCTGGGCATGAATCTGTGCCAGGATGCATGGGTCAGTCTGGGAAGTCAAGCTGGCCCATTTACCCTTTGAGCAGCAAACAACCTCCCAAGCATGCAGGGCAGACCTAAGGCCAAGAGTTCTACTCTGCTTCTCCTAAGATGCTGCTAGAGTTTAGGATCTATTCTCTGGTGCATCCACTTCTCTGGATTTACCACCACAATGCCCACACCTCACCGAAAGCCGGTAGCGCCGGGTGGTCTCTACCCGATCCACAGCTCTCAGTCCAGCAGCCTGGCACACAGAAACGATATTGCTGGATGCTGGAGTAGAGAAATTCAGCCTGGGGAAAGAGTCAGGTGGTTATAGTTTGAGGGCCCTAACAAGCACAAGCACCCTTTGGGAAGGTGGATTTGTCCACAGTTGCCTACTCAACACACCTACTACCCCTTTATCATTGGCCTCCTGCCTCAGACTAGATGCCAAGAAAACCTGCTTCCAAAAGTTAAGCAGCCTGGTCTACAGAGCTAGTTCTAGGAAAGCCAGGGCTGTTACACAGAAAAATCCTATGTTGAAAAACAAAAAACAACCCCCAACACTTGCAAAAAAAAAAAAAAAAAGAAAAGAAAAGAAAAAAGAAAGAAAGAAAGAAAAGAAAAACGTTAGTCAGAGCCGGAGAGACGGTTTCGTCATTAAGGGAGTGAGTACCCTGCTCTTCAAAAGTCTCCCAGCTTGGTTCTTTCACCCATGTCAGGAGGTTCACGACTGTCTGTAACTCCGGCTCTAGGGGAATCCGATGCCTCTAACCCCCATGGCACCTTCACTCAGGTACACATACTCACACACAAGGCCAGTATGGGAAACTTAGCAAAATCATCTTTCAAAAGAAAAAGTAGAGCCGAGCGGTGGTGGCGCACACCTTTAGTCCCAGCACTTGGAGGCAGAGGAAGGAGGATCTCTGTGAGTTCCAGACCAGCCAGCCTGGTCTACAAGAGCAAGTTCCAGGACAGGCTCCAAAGCCACAGAGAAAAAAAAAAAGAAAGAAAAGTAAAAGTAAAATAACAAATTGTTGAATGGTACAGTGCTTACTCAGCAAGTATTAACCCACGGTCAATCCCTAACAAATGGGAATGGAGAGAAACCACTGTTAATTCTAAAGTAGATTTGGGAGCTAATTCAGTTTTTAAGACATCGTCCACACAGGGAAAATACATCCATGGCTCCCTAGGCAGAGAGAAGGATGGAGCAAAGGGAAATCTCCAGAGACTACAAGGAAAAGGAGTGATGGACGTGAAGGGCGGACGATGAGTGTGAAAGGGAGATTAACGCTGGACGGTGGCGGCGCACGCCTTTAACCCCAGCACTCAGAAGGCAGAGAGGCAAGTGGATCTCTGTGAGTCTGAGGCCAGCCTGGGATACAGAGTGAATGCCAGGACACACAAAGCAATACAGAGAAACCCTGTCTCGAATCCCCCACCCCCCAAAAAAAGAAAGAAAGGGAGACATGACTTGGAATGTGGGACCAAGCTGCCCCAGGAAGTAACCCAACTCTCACCTGGGCCCCACCTCCAGCAACAAGTCATTGCAGCCAGGAACAAGCCAGGACTCCTGAGCAACATCATCCAGCAGCAATGGGCAGCCAAATAGCCACTTCAGCTTCTTCATCTCGTCAGCTCCTGGAAGGGTCTCCGCTGCAGAGACAGGCCAAGGGCACCTCAAGACAACTGCCTCATGTACCAGATCACCCCTTTAAGAAACCAGCACCTAGGCTAAGCACGGTGGCCCAAGCCTTTAGTCCCAGCACTAGGGAGAAAGAGACAGGATGATCTTTGTGAGTTCTAGGCCAGCCTGGTCTACATTTCAAGTTCCAAGACAGCCAGGGCCACACAGAGAGATTAATTAATTAAAAGTAAATAACCCAGGATCCAACCCCTAGGGACTGAGATGGACTCAGCAGTTAAAAGGATGGGCTGCTCTTCCAGAGGACCTGGGTTGGATTATCAGCACCCACATGATGGCTTATGATCCTCTTTACTTCCAGTTCCAAGGGATCCATGCCTCCTTCTGACCTCTGCAGCAGCAGGCACACGTGGTGCCCGGACATGCATGCAGGTAAAATGCAAATGCAGCAACATACCTGCAGATGAGTCTCACGATGGTGGGAAGGAAGAGCCCTCGCACCTCCACATATTTGAGTACACATACATGCATACATGCACACACACACACACACACACACACACACACACACACACAATCGTAAATCAAACAGGAGGCTAGAGAAATGGCTCAGGAGTTAGTACCACATTTTGCTCTTACAGAAGACCCAGGTTTAATTGCCAGCACTCATGTCAGAAGGCCACTACTCTCTCCAGCTCCAGGGGATCTGAACTCTTACACTCATGTACACATTCACACAAACATACACACACATATACATATAATAAAAATAAAATGAAAACAAAATGTAATAAAAAAATTAGAACAACAACAAAAAAAAATCAAACACCCGACACTAGATATGATGAGCCATGCTAGTAAGCCCTACTCTGTGCCAAAGAGAGCTTTCAAGACCAGTCTGGGTTACATAATACTCTGACTCAAACAACCCAACAAATGACAAAACAAAATTTAAACCCAACATCTGGGCTTAACCTGTCCAGTGCACGTTGTAACACAGCTCAGTCTCCACACTCTGAAGCTTTGGCAGTTTCTCTTGTAGTTTCCGAAGAGCACATCCAGATGCTGCTGCCTCGTGGCCAGAGGGACGGACATAAAAGTGAAGGACAGAGGCCATTGCGGCAGACGGCAGATGGCCGATGAATTAGGTTCCTATAAAAAAATAAATAAATAATATTAGTTGATTTCAAGTTTCATGAGCAGCCCAGACACTAGAGATAGAGAAGGCGGACATTACAGGGGAATTCAGGAAACCAAGTAACCAGAAAAGTGTAGGCCTGGGAACTTTTTAACTAATCCTGCAAAAATGCAGGCTTTGAAGGCTGGGAAGAGTTGGCTCGGCAGTACAGCATGTTCTTAGCCCTGTGCTCAATCTCCCAACACACACATAACTGGGCATCCAAACTAATATTTGCCAAAATATTCTGTAATTTTTCCCAACAGTGACTCTAAAACTCCAGATTGGTACATTTAAATACCATCACAACCATACATAAGTATAGCCAACTGGGTACAGCAAAAAAAAAAAAAAAAAAAATGTTTTTCTAGCATGCATGAAGCCCTGGGTGGTTTGATTCCCAGGACCATACAAACTAGGCAAGAAGATCCTGAGCTCAAGGTTATCCTCAGCTACACAGCGAGTTTGAGGCCAGCCTAGACTATAACACTTATCTTTCTTCTCCCCCCTTTCTTTTTTTTCCAAGAGGAAAGTTTATTGAGCTCATGGGAGGGGAACGGGAAGCTAGGCAGTAAATGAGTGTCCCTGGCAACCCCAATCAGGAAGATCTGCTGTTCCCCTAGTGTTCCCCATCATAGGGAACATGACTACCATCCAAACAGTTGCTCAACTGAATGCACAGGCACAGGACTCAGTGATAAAGCGCTTGCCTAGCATGTGCAAGGCCTGAGGTTCAATCCTCAGAACTATGAAAAGAAAAAAAGAAGCCAACATCAATTACTCTTTCCCTCAGCCTCCTTATACTCAATTCTCCAACAAAGCAACTGCCAAAAATATCTTCACAGTCTGGCCTTTTCCATGACCTCACCAGTCCAAGTCATCATCATCACTGTCTGGACTAATCAAGGTATTGGTTTCTTTGTTGCTGTTGTTTGTTTTAAGAGAAAGTCAGGTTATTTATACAGCCCAAGGCTGGCCTGGAACTCCTCTTGCCACTGTTTTCAGATGTTGGGGTCACAAGTATCTATCACCAAACCCAGTGGCACTAGATTTTATAATGAGAGCTAGTGCCTCCCTCTGGCCTGCAGGCATACATGCAGGCAGAAAACCATATACATAATAAATGAATCTTTAAAAAAAAAAAAAAAAAAAAAAGGAAGGAAGGAAGAAAAGAAAAAGAATCCCAGGATTTTCCCTCCTGTGTGTTTTCATCTTGCTTCTTCATGGTCCATGATGCCAGCTAAGGTTGTCAATACAATGATGGGAGCAGATTCTTCTGCCATTTAGGTCTTTGAGCTGCACATCAAATCTAGGGCTAATCACTCCCCGCTTATTCAACCTGCCTGTGAGGTTCACGAGAATCAAACTCACCAATGTAACCATGCTTCATCATCAGTTAGGAACCAAACAGTGACTTTGGAACAGGGCCTGATGAGGACCTGGAGTCTGCCTCTCAGGACTACTGATGCTCTTCAGAGCATCAGCCAGGACATTCATGCGCACCATGGTAATGGCGCGGAAAGATGGTGGAAAGAGGCAACCTTGAATTTCTAATCCTTCTACTCCCAAAGACCTCTCGATTGCTATAATTTCAGATACTCTTCACAACACCCGGTTTACGAGGTCGTGAGCATCGAACCCAGGGCCTCATGCTACATAAACATTCCCATGAGTTACATCTCCAGACCTCTGAAGTTACATTTATTAAGATTCCCGCCTATCTATCATTCCCAGAGAAACATAAACTCCAGGAATAACGGGACAGGGCTTTATTTCAGGGCTATATCCCCATCCCTGATCGACGCATTTTGCGATGAATGAATGGGACCCTGAAGGGAGGCAATTTCAGTCCCGTCCACCGAGACCGCGTGTCTGCAGAGCACGCGCTCCGGCGGTCGCATGATCGACCTCAAGGCCGCGGGCCCAGGAGGACCAGACAGGCCCGATTGGGAAACCGATGTAGCCTGGATCAGGCTTGAGTGTGTGACCAGTGGAGCTACACCAGGGAGTGAACGCAGGGAAGCACGCGCCAATTCTACTCACGTAATGCCGTACATGCAGAACTCCGGGAATCTTTGGCGCGCGGCTACGTCATCCACAAGCGACACAGCAAAAAACTTGCCCCGCGCAGTGCCCTTCAGCCACGCCCCCGTTGTGGGCGGTGCCGCCAACTCCGCCTGTGGGTTGGGTCAGTCCCCGGTTCTTCATAACTCAAATTATTTTAATCCAGCACCGGGGAGGCAGAGACAGAGATAGAAGGGTCTCTCTGTGTTCGAGACTAGCCCAACCAAAGCTGTATAGTGAGACCCTGCCTCTAAAAAAGAAAACACCTCGAACTTGAAATAACATTTACGAAAGCACATTCTTTTAATTTCTCGTCTCCGACTCTCCTGTCCCCTTCAATTATGACGAATATCTTGAACTCAGGAATCTGAGCGAGAAGCTTTTTAAATGTCTAAGATTCTGTTTGCCATCTCCCTTTACTTTCTTCGTTAATGAATGGATTCAGGGAGACACAGCAAAAGGATTTTTTTTTTTCTTACATTTTTGCAGTACTGGGAATTGGTTCTCAATCTTCCTAAAACTTTAATACAGTTCCTCATGTTGTGCTGACACCCCCCACCATACAATTATTTCATTGCTACTTCACAACTGCTTATTTTGCTACTGTTATGAATCGTAATGTAAATATCTGTGTTCTCTGATGGTCTTGGGCAACCTCTGTGAAAGAGTCGTTCAACCTAAAAGGGTTGTGACCTACAGGTTGAGAAACACTCACCTAAAGCTTAGCACATGCTAGTCAAGTGCTGTACCCTGAATTCTACTATCAGCTATATCAGTTTTCCTGTTACTATGACAAAATAGCTGCCAAACCAGTTACAGAAGTTTATTTTGGTTTAACGTTGAGGGTACAGTTTATCATGGACAGAGAGATCAAGCGTGACAGCAGATGTGACAACAGCATAAAGCATCTGGTCACCTTGCAACCACGGCCAAGAAGCAGAGAAAAATATATGCTGGTCCACCTATCTCCACTGTACATTAAGTCTAGGACCCTGGCTCATGATGGGTTTTCCCACCCTTATACAGACCAGTAAACATCCTAGAAGACCAGAAGTTTGTCTCCAAACTGATTCTAAGACCTTCGGTTGATAATCAAGATTAATCATTACACCAACCCTCTTTAAAAAAAAAAAAGTGGGGAGTGGGGGTAAGAGCTGGAGAGCTGCTCAGTAGTGAAGAGCAGTGGCTGCTCTTCCAGAGGATCCAAGGTTGATTTCCAGCATACACATAGTGGCTCACAACTTTCTGCAACTCCAGTTCCTGGGAATTCCACACCCTCTTCTGGCTTCCCTGGACACCAGACATGGCGCACAGACATACATGCAGGCAAAACACTTAAATACTCAAGTACATAAAAACAAACAAACAAAAAAGCCTGGGCTATATGAGAACCTGCTTTAAAGAAATGAAAAAATAACTTGTTTGGAAACAGTTATTAAACAACACAGTAGGTGGGGCTCTTTGATGTTTAATATTTTTAGCATTTATGATAAGTTCACTATTGTGTAGCTATTTCTTTCCTCCAGTATAAACTGGAGGGAGGTTCATGAAACTAGCAGGAAGTTCATTAGATTCACAAGGCCTCTCTACGAGAATATATAAGTGGTAAACAGTTGCTGGGGGAGAGGATCCTTGCACAGGGAACTTAAATAATGCATTCAGTAATGATACATTGTCATCCATGCCCACTGTATTTTTGGTAATAGTAATTGCTTCTGCAATTGTTCTAATAAGCTCATTTGCTCATTAGCTGGAGCTAGATGGATGTTTCTTTGGATAGTCATTGCCTTCTTTGTCTGTGATGATGACAGATAGACTTATAGAGACACTCCAGGGAGTCATGCGATGTTCAGTATCCCAACAGGAATCAAAGATGAATCTGCCAAACTTTGCCTCCGTATTTGAGCCAAACTTTGCCTCCGTTTTTGAAGCAACTTCTTAGTGGGAACTTTTTAAGTGGCAACAGTTAAAGGAGTCCCTAAAGGAGTTGCTTTTCTTCCTCCCAGGACTCCCCTCACTCTCAATGTATGTTACAATTAACTGCAGCAGTCCTTCCAAAGTAAACCAACATGCACTGTGCATCTCTACCCCTTCTGCCTGTCCTCCCTCTTTCTCCTTTGGCATTTGTGCCTGCTGCTCTCCTCCTGGTCAGAGTTTCTGATCCCAGGGGCTTACAGGTGACTAGGTTTCACTTCTCCATGAAGTGCGTCATCCATCATCGGCCTCATCCTCCCACCTGTACCCTCAAATCCAATCTGTGACCAAATTTCAATTTGGGAGAGCGGCTTGCTTTGAGGTCAGTATACCTGACCAGCTGGAAACTCTGGTCTGTAGGTGGCGCCAGAGTAACACCCATGTTGACAAGCCACAGGGGACAACCCAGCTTTGAGTGTTAGTGTTGTCTCTGGTTCTTTTGCAAACAAACAAGCTGTTCATCCATCCAGGGTTAATGTACTTCAGTAGGACCAAAAATAGTCTTGGGAATTCAATTCCTTCAGTTTCACCACTGGAAAAATTCTCAAAGATTGGTCTAGCTGGATGTATTGGCACCTGGGCAACCTAGTAACAGAAAAACTTATCTCAAATAATAAATGAAACGAAAGGGGACTGTCTCCTAGGTCTGATTCTCAGATCCTCAAACACAAATAATTCATTTTGCTTCATTAGAAGAACTGGCCCTGGCTGGAGAGATGGATGATTCAGACTTTTAGAGGGAGAGATGGCTCAGCCATTAAGAATTCTTACTGAATCCAGCCAGTGGTGGTGCATGCCTTTAATTCCAGAGATGCAGAGGCAGAGGCAGATCTCTAAGAGTTTGAGGCCGGTCTGGTCTACAAAGTGATAGCTTTTGCCAGGAGGGTTACAAGTCCAATATCACTAACTCCAGTCAGTTTCTCCCTGTTCAGCCTGAAAATTGGCCTCCCATTTGCTCTTGTCCCCGTCCTCCTCTTCTTCAGCTGTCTGGGAGAAAGCAACCATGTATTATTCCCTGGCACCCTTGCCCAGTCCTTCTGAGAACTTTGGCTGTTTGTAGCCAAAACTATATTTAAAAAGTTAAAATGTAAAACTCTTTGAATCTCTTCGTATTTTCTCTCCCTTCTGCCTTCTTGTCGATATAAGTAGGTTTTCCGTTACCTTGATCATGCTGGAATACAACATTCTGAGAGTCTCAGACTCATGTGAAATCCAGGAGAAGTACACAAAAGGGCCCTTTAAAAAAATCCTATTAACAGTAAATCTTGCCTAAGACCTGCAACAGACAAAAACTATTGTTAGGCTATGTATAAACAGATAATTTAACTTTTTAAAATATTTTGTAAATATAATTAGGTTCCTTTCTTTAATTAAGCTGGTAAATTTGTATGCTTGCTCTGCCTTCTGATTATAGAGACTTTGTCTCTATATGCATATAAAGGATATGAGAATATATTATATATAACATATATGGATATGAGAATATATTTTTGAATATGGAAGAATTTTTGTGCAATAAAATGTTGGCCAGGCATGGTGACTCACACCTATAGTCCTAACACTTGGAAGGTGGAGACAAAAGACTCAGAAATTCAAGGTCATTCTTGGCTATATAGAGTTGGAGTAAGCAAAGTCTACAAGAAACACTATCTCAAAATCAGGAAACAAACAGACAAAAAAAAAAAAAAAAACAGGCAAAAAGATTTGGTCCTAAGGTAAAATAAGTAGTTTTTTGCCAACATGGAACGGGAACAATAAGGACAAAAAGCAAAAAGCTCAAGCAAGCGTGTTGCAAAGGGCCAGAATAAGTCATGAAATTTTGTGGATGATAAAATTTAGGACTAGTATGTGTAATGGTGAAAGGTTGTTAAAATTCCTGTGGCTGCACTCACAGAGCTGGCTCAGTGGTTAAAAGGGTTTGCTGCCCTACCTCAGGGCTTCTTGTTTGTGAGCTTGTACACATCTGCAGAGGCCAGATCCCCTGGAGCAAGTTACAGGCAGTTGTGAGCCACTGGATGAGAGTGCTGAGAACTGACCTGGGTGCTCTTTAAGAGCAGTAAATGTTCTGAACTGTTCAGACTTCTCTCCAGTACCAAAATAAAATCTTAAGAAACGAAAAGGACCGGGGGTGGATGGGAGGATGGTAGCACACACCTTTAATCCCAGCACTTGAGAGGCAGAGGCAGGTGGATCTCTGTGAGTTTAAGGCCAGCCTGGTCTATGGAGTGAGTTCCAGTACAGCCAAGGTTACACAGAGAAATCCTAAAGAGCATTCTTTCCTGCCAGCCTGGTCCCGCAGCTGCCCAGCCCCAAATGAACACAGATGCTATATTAGTTATAACGCTGTTGGCCAATGGCTACGGCTTCTTATTGGCTAGTTCTGTCTTAATTATTAACCCATAACTACTAGTCTATGTATATTTCTACCTGGTCTTCTCTTACAGGAGAACGCCTTACTCACTTCCTCTCTTCCTGGAAATCACATGATGACTGCTCTCTGCCTTCATTTCCCAGAATCCTCCACATCTACTAGACCCTCCTGTCTTGCTGCCCTATTGGCCACAGTGTCTTATTTATCAACCAATAAGAGAAACATATTTACAGAATGACATCAAAACCCTGTCTTGGAAAACCAAAAACAATAATAGCAAAATGAACAAACACAAAGACAAACTCTGCTTCATTACTGACTTACCCTGAGATTCTTTTCTGGGATAAAGTGAAGGATTGCCCCTAAAGGGTAAACCCTCATGCTGCGATGCAGGGGACAGGAGAGTTGTCTTTACCCTTGCTGCTCTGATCTGTCCCACCAGATTAAAGCAACCAAAAAGTTAAGTCACACTAACGGGGTGGTGGGAGAAGATCCAGTATTACTTTCAGTAATCATTGTAGCCTAAATCCAACCTTTTTGTCTGAGAACCATCAAAGCTGAATCCAGGTTATAGGGCACATTGTCACAGACAGAATAAACTGAGGTGGTTCTGCCAGGGCCTGGGGAAATGCTGGAAGCAAAAAGAATGACTGTTTTATAAGTGTTCTAATATGGAGGCCAGAGTAGTTGCAGTGAAATAAGAGAGGCTTGGGGGGGGGGTATTTTGAAAAAATATGCATCTGCGCCATAATGTGGGAAATAACTGGGAAGAAACATTCAGTTTTCGTTCAATGTTTCTGTGGTTTTTGTTTGACACAGGGAGTCTTGTAACCCAGGCTGACCTTGAATTCCTGACCCTCCTGCCTCCACCTCTCAAGTGTTGATTACCAGCACACCTGGGTGTTATTCTGAGCCTGAGGTTTCACTGTGTTGTCCAAGCTGTCCTTGAACTACTCGGCTGATCCTTCTGCACCAACCCCCTAAGTAAGTGAATCAAGTGAATCTACAGGTAGGTACCGCATTTTATAAGGCAGGAACAGCAAGAGAGTGGTGGTGCACACCTGTAATCTCAGCCCTTGGGGAGCAGAGACAGGTGGCCCTCTATGAGATCTGTGAGAGGCCAACCTGGTTTACAGAGAGTTCCAGGACTACACAGAGAAAAACCCCTGTCTCAAAAAAAAAAAAAAAAAAAAAAGAGAGAGAGAGAGAGAGAGAGAGAGAGAGAGAGAGAGAGAGAGAGAAAGAAAGAAAGAAAGAAAGAAAGAAAGAAAGGAAAAGTACTTGTGCTGTGATACACACCTGTAATCTCAGCCCTTGGGGAGCAGAGACAGGAGGATCAGGGGATCAGGAGTTTCAGGTCACCTCTGGCCACAAGGCAAAATTCAAGGACAGATAAGGGGCTATATGACCAAAGTCATACCTGTCTCAAAAAGTAACAAAAACCTTAAAACCTTGTTATTGAAGGCAGTGCTAATCTTTGACCTAGGTAGCTCCATTTTGGTTTTTTACTAGATACTGGATTTTTATTTACTGTTTCCTTTTTTTCTTCCTTATGAATCTCCTAGGTCTTTCTTCCCCTTATTTACTTTGAACTTCAGGAATAACAGGCCTCCTTGAGGAATACCTTTAAAAGAAGTAACAAAAGCACTCCTTAAACAATAGAGACTCTCTTGGCTACAAAATCTTTTTAGTTGGAATTTATGGCCATTTGTGGTTGGGGATTTTGCCCTAACTCCCCTTTCATCACTACAGTGCATTTTCCTGAAATAAGGAATTGTATCAAAAATGCAGTTGAATGAAGGGATATAATAATTTGATGGTTTACTACTTTGGGTTTTGTTTGTTTTTTAATGTTGCCCAGGCTGGCTTTAATCTCATGATATGAAGATCCTCCTACCTCTGCCTTCTGGATGCTGTGTTTACAGGCAAAACCACACCTGGCTTTTCAGTTTCTTCCTTTCTTTTTATGTGTATGAATTTTTTGCCTGCATACATGTCCCACAACTATGTAGATGCCCTTGGAGGCCAGATAAAGGCTTTGAGTCAAACAATCCCCTGGCTTTGATTTTTTTTTTTTTCCTTTCCGTATTACTACCATCCTATGTATATTTATCCGTCTTCCCCTGTCTATCTCCTTGTCTTAGAACAAGGAGGGATTTTTTTTTTTTATTCTTCAGTGCATACATCCAGAGCTTAAAACAGTGCCTGGGGCATAAACGAATTCTGTTTACTGCCTCCACCAGAAGCTTGACTGACTGATTGAATTAGGAAAAGCAAAAGCTCTCATTAATTGAGCCAGACATTTTCCACCAAATTCTTTATTTAGCAACAAGCACAGTTCTAAGCATAAGAAAAAAAATAAATACAATAAGACTGGAGTTGGAGCAGACAGGTAAGGGAAAGAACTGAATATATCAGCGAGTTACATGCACAGCACACATATCAATGTTATCCCGTGTCTGCTTTATTTTTTTATTTTATTTTTCTACATTACTTCGTAGTTCTGACTGGCTTGGAACTCACTATGTAGGGCAGGCTGAAACTCAGATTTCCCTGCCTATGCACCAGGACTGCTGAGATTAAAAGTGGGTGACACTCGGTCCAGTCTGTGGCTATTTTTTGTTTGTTTGTTTGTTTGTTTTGTTTTCGAGACAAGGTTTCTCTGTGTAACAGCGTTAGCTGTCCTGGAACTCGCTCTGAAGACCAGACTGGCCTCGAAATCACAAAGATACGACTTTCTGCTTCTGCCCTTTAAGTGCTGGGGAGCTACTTTTAAGATGCACACTTCTCTGCTTGGTAAAATTAGGGAGACTGCAGGATGTTATGAGCAAAGTGGATTGTGCGTTCCAGTGCTCTCCTGCCCCACTTCTCATGAAACACTAGAAGCCGGACGCGCCGTCACTATAGCAAGGAAGCAGCAGGCCAGGCCTGGTGACGCACATCTATAATGCCCGCTGTTAGGATGCAGAAACAGAAGGGTCGCTACAAATTTAAGGTCAGTATGCTCTTTGGGATGAATTCCAGGCAAAGGGGCGGGGCGGGGCGGGGCGGGGCGGGGCGGGGCCCACAGTAGATGGATGCTGGGAGGAACCAAAGCTGCTCCGTGACGTCACAAGTTCCCTCCCGTGATCCCTTACGCCCAGCCTTCCCGCGCTCTTCAGGGTAGGGGTTTGGCTCATCATGGATGCTTGTGGAGCACAGGCATATTCCCCCGTGAGTGCTGTCTGTGTGATTCTCGTGGGTTTTTTGTTTTGTTTTCCCAACTTGTTCCTGATTTCTTTTTTTTCCTTCCACCTACTGTCTGTGGTCGCGGCCCGAGAAGCAGGGACTTTTCAGGCCGTTTGTTCCACCTCTGAGCCCGGAACACTTCTTCGCCCACCCACTCTCGAAGGTTTAAGCTCTGGGAGACTAGCAGCAGGTTGTGGGGCTGTGTGTGGCTACAGGAGCCCCCTGACGTATCTGGATGGTGACGGAGAAACATTCCACTCTTGGGGTTCGTGCAGGGGTTAGCTAGGCGGGAAAGCGTCGGAAGGGCACGGTTACTAGACAGTAGAGCCATGTTGACAAGCAAGAGTCAGAGCAAATGTCTTTTGAAAAACTAAATCCCATTGAGTGGAGGTGGAGGGGTCAGAAGGAATAGCGAACTGTCTTGTCTTGTTGAGCAGGCACTTTCTTGGTAGTTGTTGTTGGAGACCTCCCGGACCGGATTAGGCACAGACCACAACACTAGAGAGAGCCTTTACAAAGTGAGAAAGAAAAGTTAAAGCGACTGCGTTCTGACTCAGGCAGAAAAACATCAGCAAATGAACTTACAGGTTTAATTTTTTAAATCTTTTTTTTTCTTTTTCTTTTTCTGTGCATTGTATCTATATGAGGGTGTCAAATTCCTTGGAACTGGAGTTACAGTTGTAAGCTGCCACGGGGGTGTTGGGAATTGAACCTAGGAAGGGCAGCCAGTGCTCTTAACCACTGAGTCATCTCCAACCCAGCAGGTGTCATTTTTTTAAGTGGAGAAGAAGGGGAGGTCTGTGTTAGAATGGGCTGGGATGCGGTGGGAAAGGAGATAGAGGACAGATGAAGGAGAAGGGGGCAAGGCAAAGGACTACCTCAAAATTCACTATGTAGCCCAGGCTGGCCTTGAAGTTGATACCATTGCTCAAGTGAATTTTTTCAAAAGGTCTGTTTCAGCCTTTTGGTTAGCTCTGCTCCTCATTACCAGCAGAGTCCTGTCCTTGGAGATCCAAGTCAAGAAACTCATACTCTTGGCCTTTGTAAAAGTAGTGTGGTGTATGAGGGACAGTCTCTCTACTTTGCCCTGTCCTGTAACTCACTCAGTAGACTGGGCTGGCCTTGAACTCCCAGAGATCCATCTGCTGGGATTAAAGGGGAGTGACACCATACCGCCCTACTTTTTTTTGTTTGTTGTTTTTTAAATGCAAATGTAGCCAGGCAGTGGTGGCACATGCCTTTAATCCCAGCAGAAGCAGAGGCAGGTGGATCTCTGTCAGTTTGAGTTCCAAGACAGTCGAGGCTGTTACACAGAGAAATCCTGTCTCAAAAAAATACTAAATAAGTGTATAAATAAATAAAACCAAACTTGATTTCATTTTGAAACAGTGTTACTACTTTGAGAAACAAAGGTTTTCAGTGTATCAAGTAATGGACAGAATATTAGAGAATTAGTAACAACAACAACAACAAAAAAACAACTCTCAAAACTCTTGAGAAAACAGTGTACTTCTGGTATTTGATTACGTTGATTAAGAATATCTGAATAATGGATTGGTGCACTGTCAAAAGCTCTGAACAGAATGCAAAGGCAGTAGGTGTTTTTGTTAATGTTATAGGGTATAGGAGAAAGGCGAAAAGGGGGTCGGGGTGGTTTCCCTCCTGGGGTTCCAAAGTAAGGGACCAAAGGGAGAGCATAGTGGGTACCATAGCAGGAGAGGGTGACCGAGGTGAGGGAACAACAGGCCTGGCAAACAGAGCTTAAGTGAGTTTATTTAGAAAGGGAAGTGGGGGGGGGGGGGGAAGAGACAGAGAGGCACCAGAAACAGGAGAGGAGAGAGAGGGATGAGGAGAAGAGCCGGAAATACAGCAAGGAGCAAAGGAAGCAAAGAGATCGTAAGTGAGCAGGGTCTGTCTTTTAAAGGGGTCCTTTGCCCCTGAGTGCAGACTACAAAACCATGGAACCCTGGGCTGACCGGGGTACTGCCTGAGTGCATTCTGCCGGATGACAGGGGCAGGCCAGCGTAATGTCTGAATCATTACAGTAGGACTGTCCATAAGAATGATGACATAAACCTGGGAAAGGGGAGTGCACACTTTAAGCCCAGCATTTGGGAGGTAGAAGCAGGAAGATCTCAGTGAGTGTGAGGCCAGCCTGGTCTACAAAGTGAGTTCCACAACAGAAAGGCTACACTGAGAAATCCTGTCTTGGGGGTGGGGGGAAGCTGAAATAATTTAGAACATCGGAAATGGTTTTCCAAGGCACTAAAGAAGTGCCGAATGTGGAATGCTAACCAGAGATGGAGCTGTGATGGTTAGAACTAGCTGGACAGACAGAATAGGGATTAAATTGAGTAGGGTTGTATATATTTAGTTCTTAGGGACTCAAGTGCTTATGCTTGATAGAAAACAAAAATAGAATAATTGGGGACTGGAGAGATGGCTCAGTGGTTGAGAGCACTAGATACTCTTCCAGAGGACCTGAGTTCAATTCCCAGAACCCACATAACAGTTCCAGGGGAATCTGACAATTTCACTAAAAAATAAGATAATTAAAAATTATGCTCCTGCTGGGCTGTGGTACACACCTTTAATCTCAGCATTTGGGAGGCAGAGGCAGCAGATCTCGGATTGAGGTCAGCCTGGTCTACAGAAGGAGTTTGAAGACATCCAAGGCTACACAGAGAAACCCTGTCTCGAAAAAACGAAACAAATAACAAATACACATACTCCAAATACAGGATAATGGTGGGTACATGTGCCTGTAGTCCCAACACTTAGGAGGCAGAGGCAGGGGATCTTTGTGTGTTCAAGACCAGTTTGGTCTATATATTGGGTTATAGGCCAATCAAAGTTATGTAGCAAGACCTTGCCTCAAAAAAACGGGCTGGAGAGATGGCTCAGCAGCTAAGAGTACTTGGTGTTCTTCCAGAGAACACAGCTTCAGTTTCTGGCACCTGGTTCACACCCATCCTTAACTCCAGTTCCAGGAGATGGAATGTCTATTCTGATCTGATTCTCCCTTCAAAAGTCATCACCAGCCATACATACAGGCAAAACGTCATACATGTAAAATAAATACATATTTTTAATGTAAGTAAATAACCCTTTGCATATGTCCTATTAGACATTTACATATTAAGAGCAGTAATGTGATTTTTTTTATAGATTTAAAATTTTTTCATGCAATTTTCTTTTTACCTTATTCTTTTCCCTCTGTCAACCCCTCCTAGATTCTACCTACTCAACTTCATATTCTCTCTCCTGGAAAAATATAAAGACACAAATCCAAATGAAAAAGTCAAACCTAAAAAATAAAATAGACAAACAAAACCACAGTCTGTTTTGTGATGGGCAACCAATTCAGAGTGTGGGGCCTCCATAGAGTGTGTTTAATATACCTGGTGTCACTCCACTGGAGAAAACATTTTCCTTCTCCCAACAGTTACCACTTGCAAATAGCTTCTTGGTTGGGTGTGGCATCCCCCCCCCCCACTTCTTCCTGAAGTTTCGGTTGGTTTGAAATTGTGCTATCACAGTCTCTGTGAGATCATATTTTTATTTATTTATTTAGGTTTTTCAAGACAGGGTTTCTCTGTGTCCTGGAACTAACATTCTGTTGAAATTCTGCCTTCATGTGTGGCTGCATGACAGAAGAGGGCACCAGATCTCGCACCAGATCATGGTTGTGACCCACTGTGTGGTGGCTGGGAATTGAACTCAGGACCTTTGGAAGAACTATCAGTCAATGCACTTAACCTCTGAGCCACCTCTCTTTATTCTTCAAAAATCCTTTGATGGGCAGGATGGTCATGAAGATGTTTTAACTAGATTCACTTTCCTCAGGAGCGAGCCTGGCTGGAGGCTGCCCGGACCTTCATCCAAGAGACCCTTTTTCCTGCTGGTGAGGAGCCTGATAAACAGTTGATTCAGTCAGTGATTGATTGTGTGAAGAAAACATGGCTGTCCCAGAGGGAGAACCAGGATTTTACACTGCCCCTCGGCTACAGGTAGGGTGGGGTGGGTCTTGGTGGGTGGTTGGATTTAGTGTTGAGAAGGAAGGAAGAATGTGTGGAAAAGGAGGTTGCCTAAACATACCCTCATCTGCAGAGTTTTCCTGTTCTTCATTCAGCTTTTCCCCTAAAAGTCCTCCTAACTTGGCTTAAGCTGTGTGTGTGTGTAGAGGAGGAGAGAGGACGAAGAAAGTGATTCGGCTGATGTGAATATGTAACAGTATCCCATATAGCCATGTGCTTACTGCCTACCCTGAAAAACTCACAGCGTTTTGCCCTGTTTGTCTTTTTGGTAAGATGTAAAGAAGATTAATGAAGTCTCCTTATATGTCTATTCTCATCTGATTCTCCCTTCAAAAGTCATCCCCAACCTGAAGGGAGACACTGCTCGTACAATCTCAGTATCTATTTGCATATTGTTCTCAGTAGAAAAGTACTCATTTATTTGTACAACAGCATATCTCTGTGTCTTTTTAAATTAGATTTATTTTATGTGTATGAGTATTTTGCCTGCATGTATGTCTGTGCACCACATGTGTGCTTGGTAACCATGGAGACCAGAAGAGGGCATCAGATGCCCTGGGACTGGAGTTACACACAGTTGTGAGCTACTATGTGGATGCTGGGAATCGAACCTAGGTCCTCTGGAAGAAAGAACAGTGATTTTTTTGTTTGTTTTGTTTTGCTTTTTGAGACAGGGTTTAGGTTTCTTTGTGTAGCCCCACCTGTCCAGAGACTTGCTGTTTAGAGCAGTTTAGCCTGGAATTCAAAGATCCACCTGCCTCTGCCTCCTGAGTGCTGGGATTAAAGGTGTGCACCACCACTGCCTGGCTGTAGACAACTGCTCTCAACTGCTGAGCCATTGCTTCAGCCCATTTGTGGAATCTTCAGTGTTTTCCATGCACACTTATTCCTCAGACTGCTCGCAGCCTACTTCATGTCTCTTGATCCCTTGTTATAAAGCTGTTACATCACAGACTTTCTCCCCATTTCCCTTAGAGTCATTGCTCAACCTTTAGATCCAGACACCATCCTTAATTTCATAGGTTCTTGTTTGGCCAACATCCCCTAGTCCGCGTTCATCCCCTCTTTAGGCTCTTAGGTGTTTGTCAAGGTTGAGAGTATGTTAGGCGTAACTGATTTGCAGAACTTCTTTCTTTATTTTCCAGCTTTGTCTCGGTCCAGAATCTCAAGAGCCACCAGCATCTCCCATGCTGCAGCCACTTGTCCTGGAGCAGTAATGCTTTCCAGGCTTGGTCCCAAGGAGCCGGGCCAGGGGCCAGTGTCCTGCCCCGACAGCAGCTGTTACTTTTAGGGACACTAATAGACCTGCCTGGGGATTTGGAGCCAGAGTGCATGAGTGGAAGCCTGTACGTGAGAGATAACACTGGAACCCTGGGCTGTGAGGTGAGTGGAGGGGGACCAGCTGCCTCCACTATGGTAGAGTACTTGCTAAGGTCCTGGCTAACCTGTGGCTTTGATCTTTTCTAGCTTATAGAGCTAGACCTTTCCTGGTTGGGCCATCTCTTCCTGTTCCCCAGTTGGAGTTACCTCCCTCCTGCCAAGAAGAGTTCCTTGGGGGAAGGGCACCTGGAGCTGTGGGGGACACCAGTGCCAGTACTTCCTTTGGCTGTCAGTCCTGGCCCTCCCACACCTATCCCCGTCCTCTACCCAGAAAAGGCATCCCGCTTGCTCAGATACAGGTGATTTCCCACTCTTAAGGAGGAAAGGAGCTGTCAGGCTGGGAGGGTGATGGCACTTTCGGGGAGAAAAAGACATTTTGACAGTAATATAGATGATAGATGGAACAAGGGAACGGTGGGATTTTGAATATCAAGAAAGTTGTGAAGAAGGCTCTGAACTGGTTGAGGCTTGCCTCTATAATCCCAGCATTCAGACACTGAAGCAGGAAGGCTATGTAGCCTATGAAGTGAGTTCCAGGTCAGTCTGGGCTACATTGTGACTCCCTTCCTCAAAAGATGGAAAAAAAAAAAAATAGGATGGGGAGATGGCTCCGTGGTTAAGAACATTGACTGCTCTGTCAGGTGACCTGAGTTTGATCCCTGGCACCGTCATGGTTCACAGCCATGTGGTGCACAGGCTTACATGTAGGGAAAACATTCGTGCACATGAAACAATTTTTTTAAAAGAAAAAAAATTCTTTCTGTGTATGTGTGTACACACATGCTTGTGTTGGTCAGAGGACAGCCTCAAGTGTCAAACCTCAGACACCGTCAGCCTTTTTAGTTTTTGAGATAGTGTCTCCAATTGGCCGGTAAGTAGATTAGGCTGGCTGACCACTTAGCCCCATCTCCCACCACAAGGATTATGCCAAAACACTGTTAAGTTTTTGTTTTGTTTTGTTTTGTTTTTGAGATAGGCTTTCTCTGTATTGTTTTGGAGTTTTTTTTTTTTTTTTTTTTTTTTTTTGTTTTTAAGTTGGTTCTAGGACTAGATCTTGTGGTTAGGATTTAGACAAATGCTATCTCCTTGGTCTCCAAGAGAATTCTGTGTGTGTGTGTATACCTCCCATTATAGCATACAATTACACAGAGGTCAGAGAACAATTTGTGGGAGATGGTTCTTCCACCATGTGGTTCCCAGGGATCAAATCCAGACCTCATCCTTGGCAGAAAGCACCTTTCTCCAGCAGAGCCACCTCTGGTTCTCAAGGAAATATGCCTTGTCTAAGGGCAAGAAGGGTTGGAAAGTTTTTAGATAAAAGCTTTGAATTATGGACATTTTACTTTTCTAGGAAATTGTTTTACAATGGAAGGGAAGACTTGTGTGGAGGAAAAGGAAAGAAATGAAAATGTCTTTTTTTTCTTCTGCTTTCCTTAGAAAGAAGAACAAAGTAAAGGAGCCAAATCTGGCTGGGAAGCTGGTCCGTTTGAGCGCCCTGGTGACAACTCAGAACAAAAGGTACTTCATTGCCACACTTGGTGAATTAACCGAAGCCCACGGCCAAGCTGGCAGCCAGGTGTCCATCATTGTGCAGGTGAGGACCAGCGTGAAGTCTGGGAGTAGAAGGGTTATCAGAGCAAGAGAGATACATAGGGAGAGCCACACAGCACAGGGAGTAAGCCAGCCGCAGGACAAACCTCATGTTTCTTGTGTGTAGTACCTGGATTCATACATGTGATACTAAAGTAGGAACTGTGAAAGTAGGGTCTACAGGCAGGCAAAGAAAGGACGATGGGAAAGAAAAACGACAGAAACAGCTGAGGTGATGGTTCAGTGAAGCACTTCCCCTGCTAGCATGAGTCTGATCCTAGTGTAAGAAGCTGGCCACAGGTGCATGTCCTGTAATCCCATTGATGGTGGAGTGGGAAGTAGAGGTGGGCAGAACCCTAGAACATGCTAGCCAGCTAGCCTAGCCTTTTTGTGAAGTTGCAGGAAGTTGCAGGCTAGCGAGAGACCTGCCTCAAAAGGTAGCAGGCTTTCTTTCTGAGAAATGACCGCCTGAGATTATTTTTGATGTCCACATGACCGGGCCCAAGTACCTCTGCCCACGTGTGCACCCGCATGCACTCGAGAGAGATTGAGAGATTGATGGTGGATATGAGGGCTCATGCCTTTAGTCCTTATATTTGGGAGGCAGAGGTAGGTACATCACTGTAGAAAGAGTTCTAATTGGTCTTAATGATAAAAACCCAGAGTCAGATATGAGGGGGTGAAAGCTGAAGGATCAGAGAAGCTGAGCAGCCAGCCACTAGAGCTCTTACCTCTATAAATCCTCAGACCGAAAAAGGACTGAACTCCTGCCTCATCCTGCCTTATATATCTCTCTCTCTGCTCAGCCATTATCACTTCCTGTCTGTCTGTACAGACCTCCAGACCTCTATGGTTAACTAGTAGCTAGCTCCACCCTCTGATCTTCAGGCAAGCTTTATTTGTCAGAGTACAAACAAGATACCACCACAGATCACTGTGAGTTTGAGGACAGTCTGATCTACATAGCAAGTTCTAGGCTATCCAAGGCTACATAGTAAGATCTTGTTTCAGAAAGAAAGGAGAGGGGCTAAAGAGATGGCTCAGTGGCATGGCTTGTCTTCCAGAGGACCCAAGTTTGGTTCCCAGAACCCACATGACACCTCACAACAGTTTATAATTCCAGTTCCAAAGGATCCAACTTTAACCCTGCATGCAAGTGGTACACGGATGTGCATGCATGTAAAACACTCATACACACAAAATTGAAATAAATAAATTTTTAAAAAGGATGACAGAGGTACCAGGTGGTGATTGCACACACCTTTATTCCCAGCACTCAAGAGGCAGAGGCAGGTGGATCTCTTGAGTTCGAGGCCGGCCTGATCTACAGAGTGAATTCCAGGACAGCTAAGGCTACATAGAGAAACCCTGTCTTGAAAAACTAAAAGAAGAAGCTAGAGAGACAGCCTAGTAGGCAGAGTGCTTTTAGTATAAGCATGAACTTATAAGCATGAACTCCTTAGTTCAGGTCCCAGCACCCTTGCATGGTGAACTAAGTGTGGCAGCATGCTCTTGAGCCCCAGGGCTATGGAGTAAAGATGGACAGAAGACAGAAGCTCAGCCAGTCACTGAGCTCTGAGGTTCAGAGAGATTCTGTCTCAAAAAATAAGATTGAAGGGCTACAAAGAAGGCTCAATAGTTCCTGCAGAGGACTTGGGTTCAGTTCCCAGCACCCACTTGGTGGCTCAGTTCCAGGAAATCCAGGGCCCTCTTCTGAACTCCACAGGCATGTGGTGAATATACATGTAAGCTTTAGATTCATAAATGTAAATAAGTAAATAAATACATATCGAGAAGTGACTGAAGAAGACATTCTGACATCAACCTCTGGCCTCCACATGTACTTACACAGATGAGTACATCTGTCACCTGTACACATGCATACACACAAAGACAAGTATTCCATATTGTCTCTCATACCTGGAACTTTAGATTTGTTTGTTAAGACTGGCTCTCATGTAGCCTTGAGCTCTTGGTCTTACTGGTTTCATCTCCCGAGTGCTAGGGTTCTGACAGCCCTGTCACCCTGCCGGGTAATGGATATATAGGACATGACAGTAAGAGGAAACCATCTGGGGAGAGGAAGGACACTGGGGGAGGAGGCTCATGAGAGCCAAGTGTGAGCTATGTACTGATGCACCTGTGAAAATGGCACAGTAGTATTTTATATGCTTACTAAAAATACTACGTAAATATAAAGAAGGCCACCTACCTCTCAGTATCACAGAGGACTGGTTCCTGAGGATGCTTAGCGGCATGGGTGACATGACTCATTGGGAGAAGATGCATGTTGCCAAGCCTGAAAACTTAAGTTTGATCCCAGTGGTAGAAGGGAAAAACCAATTCCTGGGAGTTGTTCTCTGACCTCTATATGGGTACTTGAGTGCACACATACATAAAAATGTAAGTGTGATGTGGTGGCGCACACCTTGAATCCCAGCACTCGGGAGGCAGAAGCAGGCAGATCTTTGTGAGTTCGAGGCCAGCCTGGCCTACAGAGTGAGTTCCAAGACAGCCAGGGCTACACAGAAAAAAAACAACAACAAAAAAGTAAAAGTCAGGCATGGTGTCTAAGCCTCAGGAAGTAGAAGTAGGACGACTAGATAGAGGGTTCAAGGCCAGCCTCAGCTACACAGCAAGCTTGAGACATTTGTAAACAGCAACAAAATAATGCTTGGAAGCCAGGTGTGGTTGCTGATATCTGTAATCCCAACGCTTGGGAAACTGATGCAGGAATATTGTCAGGAATTTGAAGCCAGCCTGGGCTACAGAGTGTGGCCCTGTCTCAAAACCAAAACAACAACTTATTAAAATCAACCAACCAACAAATAAAAACCATCTAGGACCTACAGTAAGACTATAATCTACCTGAAGCACCCTGCTTTGCAGTTTGAAGAAATTTAAGTACAATTCAGACATTTCTCTCTGGGCACACAGTAGCATATGAATGAACCATCTTTGCCTGTCATTAAAAGTTTTTCTAATTGTCTAGGTGTTTTAAATATTGCAGTATCACAAGCACAAAATGCCAGGCAACACGGCAATGTAATGTTGCACGTAGTGAAGTTGCATGTGCATGGTGTGGGCTGCAGGTGCTGTAAAAGACTCATTCGAGTTTGCTTTGTGGGGCATAACACCATGAGGTAGTTAAACTTGAGCTGGGTCTTTTAAAGTATGGACAAGTTGTGGATCTAAGTTAATTAATGTGTTCTACTGAGGTTTGAATCTAGGGCTTTGTGCTTAGGAGACAGGTACTCTACCACTGAGCTGTATCCCCAGCTTTGCTCTTTTTATTTATTTACTATTTTTAAATTTTTGAGGCAGAGTCCAAGTTGCACAGTATGGTCTTGAGCTCATCTTGTGGCCTAGGTGGGCCACAAGTTTAGGTTCAAGACTGAGTATCCCTATCTGAAATCTGACATGCTCAAATATCTGAAACTGAATGAAGACATGGCACTACCTGGCCACGTATAATAGACTGAAGTTAAAACACAAGACTAAACATACTGTGCAAGATCACTGCCTCCATGCTCTGTGTGTAAAGTGTATATGAAACAAATGAATTTCATGTTTAGAATTGGTTTCATCTGCAATGCATCTTATATATGCAGATACTCTAGAATCTCAAAAAATCTGGGATACTTCTGGTTGTATTTCCTATAAGAGATATCAGCTTCAGGGCTGGAGAAATGGTTCAGGGTTAAGAACCCATATTCCTCTTGAAGAAGATCTGGGTTCTGTTCATAGCACCTGCATTGGGTGTACCACACTTACCTGTAACTCCAGCCCCTGGAGGAGCTGATGCCCCTGTCCTCTATGGGCACAATTTAATAATGATTTTTTTAAAGGTCAGCCTGGATACCCGTCAGGGCCTTCTTGAATTTTACCTCGACTCGTTGGGCCTCCTTGGTCACTCCTTCTTGTCCCCACTTTCTTTCTGACTATATGAGGGCTGGACTTGTAGCTCAGAGGTAGAATGCCTGTCTAGCATGCACAAATTCCTGGGTTTGATTCCCTGGTATGATAAAAAAAAAAAAAAAAAAAAAAAAAAAGAATAAATGGAAGATTTTATTAAATGTGTATATTTTTGGTACGTGGTCATATGTAGCTCTGTGTTATTAGGTTTATGTCTTCTCGATGGTTTGAAACATATTAAAGAGGAATTACTAATTTGTTCTTTAGCATCTCAAATCTGGAGTCGTATGTACTCAGTTCATATTAATGAAATAAGTGTGTGGTTTGTATGCTCTGTGATGAGAGAAGATATATTGAAAAGTACAATTTTCTTGATGGAATATTTATCAGTTTTAGAGGAAATTTTAGGGATGATTTGTATCTTTACGAAAGGGTTAAGAAATGTGTGGCATTTCCTGTTAATTGGAGAAATCCTTAAAGTTCAGTGGCTTAAAATAGTAAGAGTTCAATGCTAATCTTGGCTACATAGTAAGTTTGAGGCCAGCTTGGACTGTATGAGACCTTGTCTGAAACAAAACAACAACAAAACCCCAACCAAATAAATAAGCAGATGATGAAGAGGTAAGAGAAGAATCAAGGGGGGGGGGTGGGGGCTGGAGAGATGGATCAGTGGGTAAGAGCACTGGCTGCTCTTCCAGAGGTCCTGAGTTCAATTCCCAGCAAGTGGTTCACAACCATCTATGGTGGGGTCTTCTTCTGGCAGGTAGAACACTGTATACATAGTAAAGAAAAAAAAAAATCTTAAAAAAAAAAAGAAAGGAGAATCAAGGTTGGAATCAATCAAACTGTGATGGGAAGGGCTTTGGCAGAAGAGCAGCATTGGGGGTGGGGGGGGCTGTCTCATGAATAATTTACTTCAACTTCACTCCTCGTAAGCCAGATTCCTCATCAGATGGTGTGGCACCGAGTCCTTCGGCCTGGTAGGGCCTATGTGCTGACAAAATTGCGGGTAACCAAGACCCAAGGTCACCATTGCTATATTTGGACAACCACTCCATCTTCAGATCTGATACCACTGAGACCAGAGTATGTGCGGGACCTGGAACTTGATACATTGTTCTTGGAAGCTGACCTTACACCACTTCCCCAACCCACAAACTCCAAAGACAGTAGTGGGCAAGAAGGTCTTGTCCGGGATTCCAAAGTCTTACATTATTTGGTGAGTGAAAGGAACTAGTCCTGGGGATCGAGGCATTGGAAATGTGAGCCTCTACAGAAGGACCTCTGTGCTCTGTGCAGGGAACAGTCACTGATGTGTTGAACGAGTCTGCCGGCCTCTACATGCTAGATGAGCAGCTGATTCTCTGCCTCGCATATCAGCAGATCCATGGCCTCAGGCGGGTGATTCGACCAGGGGTTCATCTGGAGGTATGTCAGGTATCAGACCTACAGTTCATAGGAGATGAACCTCAGAGAGAATGAGGGTTTTCTTGTTGTTGTTTTGGTTTGGTTTTCAAGAGAGGGTTATTCTGTAGCTTTGGAGCCTGTCCTGGAACTAGCTCTGTAGACCAGGCTGGCCTCAAACTCACAGAGATCTGCCTGTCTCTGCCTCCTGAGTGCTGGGGTTTAAAGCATCTGCTACCACCACGTGCCCCAGTTTTGATAGAAGGTGGGATGGGCAACATTGGGAGACATTAGCTTCTCTTGGAATATAGGGTGTGGAAACAATAGTCACCTCTGCACTAGGTTAAGTTGGGGGGTCTTACCTCTCTGTTCTTGTTTTAGTTTTTTGCTTGCTTGTTTATTTAAGATTTACTTTTAGTTTTTAATTGTGTGTATGTATGTGTGGGGGTGGGGGTAGTACTTGTACATGAATACAGTTTCCTGCAGAGGCCAGGAGAGGCCATCAAATCCCCACTCAAGTTTAGGTGGCTTTGAGCCACCCATAGTGGGCATTAGGAACTGAACTTGGGTTCTTTGTGAGAGTAGTACTTTTGACTGCTGAGCCACCGCCCTAGCTCTTGGGTAGTTTTATGTCTTGTTTGTTTTGAATCAGGGTCTTACTATGTTGCCCTGACTGGTCTGAAACTTACTGTGTAAAAACAAACTAGGCTGAACCTCACAAAGATCCTCTTGCCTCTGCTCTGGAGTTCTGGAATTAGAGGTATGTGTAGCCCTGGTTTTCCTGGAACTCACTATAGAAACCAGGCTGGCCTTGAACTCAGAGGTCCACCTGCCTCTGCCTCCCAAGTGCTGGGACTGAAGGTGTGGGCCACCACCACCAGCACCAGGCATATCAAGTCCTTTATTTAGGTTTCAGTAGCTCGAGCTGGCCTCAAGCTTTCTGTGTAGCCTCAGCCTCCAAGTGCTGGAGTTCACAGACGTATGCCACATGCTGTTTATCTCTGCTTTTCTGTTTGCCTACAGCTCCGAGATGTTCATCTCCTCCAGGCCGTGGGTGGAGGAGCAGCAAAACCCGTACTAGCACTCTGTCTCCATGGTACCATTCTTCTTCAAAGCTTTTCTCGCCTTAAGCCTGAGGCTTTGCCATCCTACAAAGTTCATGGTGCCTCCCTGTATAAGCAACTCGTGTGGGAATGTCAGTTAGGACTTCCCTTATACTTATGGGCTGTCAAGACGCTGAAGGAGCTGGCCCACAAGTGAGGAGGATGGAGATTGAGGGTCTGGGGTGGAGAGGGGAGTGGAAGGGTGATGTGTCTCCGCAGGGAAAGCAGGATCCTGGAAGGGACGGGTCTTGGGGAAATGACTGTCCTTCTCTCCCTGGCCAAGGCTGTGTCCCTATGTGTTGGGTTACCACCAGTTCCTGAAGCACTCCTCTCCTGGGAACCCCAGCTTGGCACTGCAGCTCCTGGCTCCCTCCTGGGACGAGCTCGTTTCACCTGTCAGCCCCGTTCGGCATGCACACAGTGAGATCCTGGAAGAGCCACATAACTGTCCCCATCAGAAAGTAAGAGAATGTGGGGAGAGGTTGGTAGCAGCACTATTGCTTGCAGATTTCTGGCACAGGGGACACAATCTGATTATTACTTTCTCCCCAACAGTATACTCAGCTGCAGACTCCCTACTCTTTCCCTACTTTATTAGACCTGGCAAAGGAAGGACAGCATAGGGCTTGGGCTGCCTTTGACCCAAAGGCCCTTCTGCCTCTCCCAGAAGCTGCACACATGACCAGCAGCCAGCTGAATCGCCACCTAGCCTGGTCCTGGCTCTGCCTGCCATCCTGTGTGTTCCAGCCAGCGCAGGTAGGGAATTTAGAAGGCTGGAGACTACTTCTTGTGTCTTCATCGCCACTTTCTTGTTGAGCTCACTTGTGTTTGTTGCTCTTATTTCTTTTGTTTTGTCATTTGACTATGCTGGCTTTCTGATTAAACTGCAGTGTCTGTTCTTGCCCCTTGGGTTAGGTGTGGTACTGCACACCCTTAGTTCTGCTGCGTAGGAGGGAGAGATGAGTGGATGAGTTAGGCCAGCTTGACTGCACAGTAAGACCCCAAATACATGTAATAAAACAAACTCCCTAAAGCTGTAGCTTGGAATATAGAATTCTGGTGGGTTTTGCTTTGCTTGCTTTCTGTTACTGCTTTTTTTTTCCTCCTGAGGGAGTCTTGCTATATAGCCCAGGCTGGACTCAAATTCCTGGCGATCTTCCTACCTCAGCTTTTCTGACTACCAGGACTATAAGCATGTACCACCATGCTCAACTGTGCAATTTAGTTCTTATTGCTATATATATGAGTGCTTGTCTTTGTTACTGCTAATGTTTAAAACAGCGCATGACACGTGGATGCTCAATGAAATTATATTTTATTTTTATTTTGAGACAGGGTCTCACTGTGGGCCCTGGCTGTCCTGGAACTCATAACTTGGAGCAGCCCCTCTGCTTCCCAAGCACTGGGCTAACCCCAGCCCTTCATTTCTTTAATAACTGTTTAATAGCTTGTCCTTCTTTTCATGCAGGTTCTCCTTGGGGTGCTGGTGGCTTCGTCTCATAAAGGCTCCCTGCAGCTGCGGGACCTGAGTGGTTCAGTGCCCTGCATGCCCTTGTCTGATACTTCACAGCCCCTCACTGACCCAAAGCTCATAGGTGTGAAGTCAAGAGATGGAAAGGTGGTGGTGGTAGGGTGGAGTTCTTGGGGTGCAGGCAGCCAAGAGGAGGCATCTGTTGAGGTTTGTTAATGGTGTGGAGAAGTTTGAGAGGCTGGGATTCGTGGAGAGAGCAGGAGCCAGAGCCACAATTCCCAGCATCCATCTCACCTACATAGCTCTTAAACTTGCACCTTCCTGTTTCATACATTCATAATTTGGAAGAACACTGGTCTTATTTGACTTGTTGGGATTCATAAAGAGGAGCTTGGCATGGTGGCTCTTGCCTTTAATCCCAGCAGAGGCAGATGGGTCTCTGTGAGTTCAAAGTCAGCCTGACCTACATAGCAAGTTCCAGGACGGCTAGAGCTATCAAATAGAAACTGACTCCAAAAACAAACAAACAAAAATGGGAAACCTTAGAGGGGAAAACTTGTCAAATTTAGAAAAGGGCACGTTTGAGATTTGGGGAAATAATAGCAAAGGTCTTTTAGCCCATGGACCATGCAAGCATGTGGGAGGGGTTCTGCTTGCCGTGGTTGCGTAGGGGCTGAGGTAGGGGCTGAGCCGATGAGGCGCAGACTTCACTTCAGAAGAGGGTGTTGGCTCGGGGCTGGGATGGACATAGACGGGCTGGCTGCCCTGCTTCACTGCTTTTCCCACAGTTATTTTCTTGCTGAGATAGAAAACTTTCCTCCTCTAGGCTGCCTGGTACGGGTAGAGAAATTCCAGCTGGTGGTAGAGAGAGAAGTCAGGAGCAGCTTCCCTTCCTGGAAGGAGCTGGGCATGAAAGACCTCATCCAGAAGAAGCAGGCCAGGTCAGCCCTGGAGTGCTCCATGTTCTCCTGGGTCTGAGGGGAAGGGAGAGCGTGGTGTGTGGGGACTTGGGGTCCAAATCACTCAGTCCCTGCATTGCAGAAGGTTTGTCTCTTCCAACAGAGTCTACATCCAGTTCTTCCTGGCTGACGCACTGATCCTGCCTGTGCCCAGAGCCACCTTTGGTTCAGAGTCACCTCAGACAGACTCCTCCTGCCCAGAGGGACCCCATGTTGGACAGAGCCGGCTATTTTTGGTGTCCCACAAGGAAGCCCTCATGAAACGTAATTTTTGTGTCCTTCCGGGAGCCAGCTCACAGCCTCCTAAGCCCACCCTGAGTTTTTGCGTGTCAGGAACTTGGCTTTGTGGTACGCAGAGGAAGGAAGGGTCTGGATGGGGCCCACCCGAGTCTCTAGGTGTTGGCAACAAGTATCAGAAGGTAAACTGGGGCTCCAGGTACCCTGGCCCAGCCTTGCCACCCTGGGTCCACCCTGGGACTCAGTGCCATGCTGTCCTTCCTCACAGGTCTCCCTCATCTTCCTTGGCCCTTCAGTTCGATGGTTTCCATTCTTGTACCCAAACCGAGTCTACCGCCTTGTGGCTCCTGGCCCCTCAGTGAGTGCTTTCTTCTGTCCTGTCAAGCTGGTTGGGCTGGAGTCTGGAGCAGGCTTGCCAGTGTGGGTCTTCTCAGTCTCCTGGAAGAGGCTGAATTTAGAGGGGAGGAGTCATTGTTGAGGTCCCTTCCTTCACCAGACTCCAGGAAGAGATCAGCATTGGAGGACTTAGACCCCTTTGTTTTGGCCTACGTGCGTGCAAAGGCAAATGTCTCTATGTTTCCTAGCAGACATCAATGTTTGAGACATCTCAGCATCCTCTGGAACTGGCTGGCACACAGTCCTGCCTCACTGTCCCAAAGGAGTGGACCCTGGAACTTGGGAGCTCTCAGGACATACCTAATGTACTAGATATCTCCAGAGCACTGCCCGAGTCCCCGCTGACACATCTGCTTAGTGACAAGTAAATGTTCTCATTGCCTCTGGTTCTTTGGGCCATTCTCCCTTCTGTGCTGGCCGAGCAAACAGTCTGTTCTGTGCTCTATGAATTTCTTCAACGTGGGTTAGCCTGTAGAGGAATGATGTCACTATGAAGGAGGTTCTATTTCAGGCTGCCTCTTGTGGGATTTCACTTTCCCGTGCACTGCAATCCTGTCCCCTGTCTCAATCCCACTCCACCCCCATATTTTGTTTCTTGGTGTTTGAGACAGGGTCTCGTAAAGCCAGGCTGGTCTTGAGGTTGCTGTGTAGCTGAAGATGACCTTGGCTTCCTTCCTCTGCCTTCTGAATGTTATGTACCATTCCACCTGGTCATGCAAATATTCTTACAGTTAAGGAAAAACTTTAGCAATAAAAGGGAACAGAGACATAAGCAAATACGAGGAAGAAGATAGAAATGTAGAGAAGGACCTGTGTTTAGTGTGACATATAGTTGGTCGATGAATGCAGGAACGTGGTATTTCATAGAAGCCTTTGTAGGCAACTCCAGATGCAAATGAAAAAGCTGTTTCCTGTGTGATGAAAAATCCTACTAGGTTGTGTATAATTTTTATGAGACTGGTCTTTATTACTGAAAGTAATATGAGCCAGGCGTGGTGGTGTACATGTTTAATCCCAGCACTCGGGAGGCAGAGGCAGGCAGATCTCTGAGTTTGAGGCCAGCCTGGTCTACATAAGTAGACTTTGGACCTTCCATGGCTAAGTGGTGAGACTTGTCCCAGAAAAAAGGAGGGGGTTAATATAGATGATTGGAGAGATGGCTCAGTGGCTAAGGAACTGGCTGTTTTTCCAGTGGACGTAGCAGCTCACAACTGTCTGTACCTCCTGTTCCAGGGGATCTGGCACCTTCTTCTGGCTTCTGAGGATCTTGGTGTGCAGACAGATGAGCAGGAAACATACCCTTGCACATAAAACAGAAATTAAAGAAAAAGTGAATGTAGACAGGGAGTTGGGAGGTGGTTCATGTCTGTGATCCTAGCACCCAGTCCTTAGGCTGTGCTACCGTTATTAGTTTTAAGAGGGATCTTGTCTTTAAAAAAAAAAAAAAAAGGAAAAGGAGGATTGAAGATTGTCTGTAACCTTTATGAGATTACTCTTTATTGTTACAAGTGAATGTACACTGGAGTTTGTTTCCATAGTAACACACATCTTTAGATCCCAGAGTTCAAGGCCAACCAGGTAAACAGAGCAAGTTCAGGACAGCCAGGGCTATGCAGAGAAACCCTGTCTAAGAGGAGGAGGGGACAGGAAGGAAGGCAAGTGGGAAGCTAGGCAGTATTACACTTGTAGCCATTGTGCTCTGGGACCCGATACAGGGGAACTGCTGAAGATTTGAAGCCAGCCTAGGTCATACAGCAAGTACAGCAAGACCATGTCTCAAAGGATTAAAGCAGAAGAGTAAGAGTAAAAATGAATGTTTCCTAGAAATCTGTGTCTTCAGGAAGCATAAGACTAAATGATGGACTAGCTGGGACTCTAGGTGTAAATGCAGGTGGGGTTGGAGGGCCTCTAGGAAAGCCACTGTCTCCAGGGTGGTGGATTTCTTCTTCTTCTTCTTCTTCTTCTTCTTCTTCTTCTTCTTCTTCTTCTTCATCTTCTTCTTCGTCTTCTTCTTCTCTTCATCTCCCTGTGCGGCCTGGGCTGTCGTGGAACTCTGCCTCTAGTACTGGGATTAAAGGCCTGTGCCACCATTGCCTGGCAGGTTTCTTTATTTTAAAGTTGGGTAGACTTTGGATCTGTGTTACATACTCGTTTTTCTCAAATGCCTTCTTACTTTTAACCCAAGGCTTTCTAGGACCTTGTATGTGGTGTTCTCGCAGATCAGACGGCTCCCTTTCTCTCTTATGAGCCGATCTCATATGTTTCCTGTATGTTTCTCGTATGTTCCTTATTTATTTATTTGTTTGTTTGTTTGTTTTGGGGGGGGATTTCAAGACAGGGTTTCTCTGAATTGTTTTCGAGCCTGTCCTGGCACTCACTCTGTAGAACAGGTTGGCCTCAAACTCACAGAGATCCACCTGCCTCTGCCTCCTAAGTGCTGGGATTAAAGTCGTGGGCCACCAATGCCCAGCTCTCGTATGTTTCTTGTATGTTTCCTAATTTATTTCTTTCTCTTTTCAGCTTCTCCAATTCCTTGGTGTCTTTCTCTGCTGAAATTTTGTCACGGATCCTATGTGAACCACCTCTGGCCCTTCGCCGAATAAAGCCTGGTAATGTTGTCACTGGGGGAAGGCTCAGATTAGAGCTATGGGACCTTGTAGTCCTGGCTGATGTACTAGCCACCCTTCCCTCTCTCTGTAGACAATGCTGGGGCTGTTAAAACGGGGGTGAAGCTAACAGTAGCTCTAGAAATGGATGCCTGTGACTATCCCCCTCACCTGGACATATATATCGAAGATCCACACTTGCCTCCCCAAATAGGACTCCTCCCAGGAGCTCGAGTCCACTTTAGCCAGCTGGAGAAAAAGATTTCCAGGTGAAGACCTGTGTTGTATGGCCGTACCTTCTTTGCTTACAGCCCCCCACCCCCACCTAGTTGTGCCACAAGGACACCTTTCCTTTGCTATTTCTATTTTGTTTTGTTTTAAGACAGGGTCTCCCTATGTAGTCCTGACTCTTCTGTAACTTCCTGTGAAGCCCAGGCTTAAACTTAACGCCACCCCACCCTCCTGCCACTGCCTCTGTCTCCCAAATCCTGGGAATATTGTGCTCGGATTTGTTGTGACTTTGGTTGTGGGTCTGCTGTCTTCTGTCCTCTGTTTGGCAGAGCTGAGGGTTTGTTCCTGGGAGTAAGAGAGTTAGCTCAGCTCCTACCCAGCCTGCCTGCTCTCTCCTGTTCATGTTCTTTTACCTGCAGGTCCAACATTGTTTACTGTTGTTTCCGGCCAACCACTTCCGTGCAGGTCCTGAGCTTTGCCCCAGAGACCAAAGCCAGGTCAGTGCTCACACCCTGACACCCCACTCCTGTGTCTGTCCTAGAGCGTTCCCCACAGTTTTAGTCTTCTAGTCCTCTCTGATCACAGAAGACAGTTTTTGTTTGTTTGTTTGTTTGCTGATTGTTAGTTTTCAAGACGGTTTCTCAGTGTAGCCCTGGCTGTCCTGAAACTGACTCTGTAGACTAGGCTGGCCTTGAACTCAGAGCCTCCTGCTTTTGCCTCCCCAGTGCTGGGATTAAAAGCAGGCACCTCTGCTGCCCAGTTTAATAGAAACTTTTTTTTTTTTTTTTGAGTTGGAAGGATTTCATATGCTCCAAATAGAAAAAAGAAAAAAAAAATGTCCAATGCCAATCGATTTACCCAGGAAAACTCTGAGGCTCTAAGCTCTCCAAGGCTTTTCCATCTGACATGCAGGTGTATCTTTCTTGGTTAATGGCTCTTTGAAATCAGGAACCAGTGTGTGACAAGGGCTTCCAGGCGTGCATAAAACTCACTGCTGTCCCTGTTTATGCTGATTAAGGCCAATTAGGCTCACTTTACTTTGAAAACTCTCTTTCTTGATTTAGGCTATTTGAGATGGTTTCACTATGTTGCCCATCTAGCCTCAATTTAAAAAAAAAAAAAAAAAATTTATTTATTTTTTTGGAGACAGGCTTTTACTGTGTAGCCCTGACTGGCCTGGAACTTGACTGTGTGCCCCAAGTGTTGGGATTAAAGGTGTGTGTTTCCATGCCTGTGTAACTTTGAAATTTTGCTGAGGCCGCATCCCTATGGGCTTATAGGTGTGTGCTACTCTGCCTGGTTCCTGTGCTGGGTGTGCAGGTTCGAGTATCTGCCCTGCTTCCTTCTCTCTGTCCTTAGGGCTCCCCTGCCCCACATCTACCTGGCTGAACTTCTCCAAGGAGGAAGCGTGCCGTTCCAGGCCACCACCTCTTGCCATATCGTTCTTGTCTTGAGCCTTCAGATACTGTGGGTGTGTGCTCACTGCACCAGCATCTCTCCCCAGGTATTGGGAGAGGACAGCCTGAGCTGGGTGTGAAGTGTCAGTGGTATCACCGGATCAAGAGGGCTTTCCCAACGGTTTTGTTTTGTTTATCCCAGGGGAGATGTAGTCGTCAGGACCATAATTGTCCAGCTCAGACGGCTGTAAGCCAGGCCAGTGTCAGGTAGGAAAGACTGTGTCCCATCCTCCTACCCTATGTGTGTGTGTAATGAATGAAGGAAGGAATGAATGAACGAATGAATGAAGGTACAGTGGGCTAAGTATCGTAAGCCTTATGTTAAGAGATGTTGAATCTGAGGATTGTCCACAGGGGGTTGCTGTAGGAGTTTTGCTTCCCCCTTCTCTAGGCTTTTGGTAGAAGATGGTACCGCGGAAGCCACAGTGTCCTGTAGGAATCATCACGTAGCAACAGCGCTAGGGTTGAGTCCTAGCCAGTGGACCTCAGTCCTAGAGTATGCACGGGGCCCAGGGAGAGTGGCTTTGCAATTTAAAGGTTTGGGAGCCCAGACAGAGGTAAGAAGGTTCCGATAGATGTCCACGTTCTTGGGTTTTGGCGATGGTTGGGAACTTGGGTTCCAACTAAATCCAAGTTTCTCTTTCTAGTCTTCGAGCAAAACCCAGGAACCTTTGGCCCTGTTCCTGCGGACACTTTGTGCCAGCCCCTCTGTCCTCCGACCTGTTAAGCTTTCCTTCGCACTTGAGAAGAGACCTTCTGATGTCACCCCAGCAGGTGAGGGCGTGAGGACAGGTTCTAGAAAGCACAATGGATGGGGCTGGTAGGGGATTTCCAGACTGGGGAGGAAACCCACACACAGGGCGTTTGCTCTTGCTCTTAGAACCGGCCCGGCTGCAGCACTTCCAGTGTGGAGAGCTCCCTCTGCTGACCAAGGTGAATCCCAGGCTCCGGCTGGTCTGCCTTTCCCTGCAGGAGCCCGAGCTCCCCGGCCTTCCAGAAGCTTCTGCTGCTTCCTCCTGACTGGAGCTGCGGTCACGGACTAGGGCCCCACTGCCCTTTCTAGTATGGGCCTGCCTTGGGAGCACTATGAGGACAGCAATCGCCGCATGATGTAGACTTTTCTTCACGTCCGGCTTGGAGGCCTGCACCCCTAGGTGGCCCTGAGGACTTGGGGTCTGCCTTGTGTGGAAAGCACAACAGAAAACTTGTTCCTATGTCCATGCTGTATGAGCCCTTTGGGCCACAATAAACCTCAGGACTCCTGGCCTAGGTTCATCTCTGAGGTGCCACATTTAGACGCACCCCCTAGTGGCGGGCCTGTCTTTCACTCATTACAATGTCAGTCACTTGTTCACTAGCGGTGTGGAGGTGTGGAAGGAGGAAAGCGATTTGGAGAACCGCCGGTCCAGCAGAGGACGATAGCAACCAGTCAGATCTCACCGGGAGCATCAGTCAGTGATGGGGCCGGCGGTGAGAACGTGACTATGATGGTTTCAGCTAGCTTGGCAGGAGTAGGAGTGGGGTTCATGTCAAGTAGGAGGGCCTGGAAGTGTTTGAAAATAGAGGACAGGAGCAGTAGGGGGGGAAAAAAAAACAAACGGATGAGGACTCTGGAATGCCTGTGGGTGGGTTCCTAGGGCCAGACCTAAAGTAGACCCTTGGTCAACAGATCAGCAGAGTCCCCTGGGTCTTCTTGAACTGCCTGCAAGTTGGGGAGGATGAACCTTCCAAAATTGCTTTCAACATATTTGCTTTTTTTTTTTTTTTTTTAATTTAAGGGGGGGGGTGCCATAGACCGTTACATAACAAATTTGGAGGTGCTTTTCCAATGGCATTCCTGTAGCTGGCCGGTTAGCTCAGTTGGTTAGAGCGTGGTGCTAATAACGCCAAGGTCGCGGGTTCGATCCCCGTACGGGCCAGAAGCTTGACGTTTTTGTTTAGGGGATGCTTTTTGTGTAAAAGATTAGTTCCTGGGACTTGTAATTGCAGAACGAGTCGTTTGTAATCTCTTAAAACCTGAATTGCCAGCGGTCTACAACTGCGAAGCAACACTCTCCGGCGTCTAGAAAGCAGGGAACGAACAATCTGGGTCTCCGCTGCTGCCGCTTCCTTTCCCACACGATCTTTGCTGGACACCAAAGACCGGGGAGCATCCGGAAGGAAGGTTCGCGGGAAGCGCGGCGCCGAACGTCCAACCCGATCCCGTCCCGCTCTGGCTTTTGGCACCATCTTCCTGTCTCGCACCACCGAGAACCGGAAAATGGACGGGGTGGGGCGGGAAAGCGCTCAGGAAGTAACAAAGGCATAGGATAAAAACAGCCTCACATGTTCTGTAGTCGTGGCCGAGTGGTTAAGGCGATGGACTAGAAATCCATTGGGGTCTCCCCGCGCAGGTTCGAATCCTGCCGACTACGGCTTATAACTTTTTAACTCTTGAAAGTTTTGGCTGTATTAATGGTTTCTGTCTCAGGTGAGAACTATGCAAAGTCCCCTCAGGATTCTAGAATCCTAGCTTAGTCACACTCAGCCCTCTTCTTAGTTGTAAGGTACCTCAGAGTTGAAGGGCCTCACGGACAGTTGGGGAGATGCAAGACAATTAAGTATGTTTTAGATTACAGCCAGTGTGGTTTGAACTCTGAACCATAAATCCCTGTAGTACTTTCCAGAAGGACTTAATTATGCCCTTGGCGCCGTGGCTTAGTTGGTTAAAGCGCCTGTCTAGTAAACAGGAGATCCTGGGTTCGAATCCCAGCGGTGCCTTGTGGATGACCCAAGTGAAAAGTTTTCGTTTTTAACCTTTACCAATTTTATATAAGAGCAACATCACGTCTATTACCTTACTGGAAATTCTGCCTTGTATCCGTAGTGGCCCATTAGTACCACACCTCCCTGATCCCATTACTCTTTCTGTTTGAACCACTGTGCATTTCGTTTGGCTTGGGGCTTTGTAGTTTTATACTTTGGATATTTTATATAAATCATTATACGTTAAAATCTGGTGTGGAATCTAGATGCAGTCCTATGGTGGCAGGCCTTTCATGGGAAGCTACTACTCCACCCACCTCCATCTGTCCCACAAGGAGCCAGTTAGGGTCGGAGTCAGCAGGGCTTGACAGGCCTGCCACCAGGACGAGGAGTCGTGGGGAGCCCCACGGGCTCTACTGGGGCGGCTCTGGCACACTAGGCTAGATGATCACAGTCGACAGTGATGCTGACAGCGGGGTATTGGCATGGCTGAACCTCCTTGGGAGACAGACAGTATAGACTCCATTCATTCCCGGTAGGCAATGGCTGAGTGAAAGTGTGGGCTTGAAGGAATTGCTCTCTCTGAGACAAGATGGTGAGATACGGAACCCAGAGCACATTTTGAGCAAGGCAGTAAGGTAGACCTTTTTCTCAGGCTCTTTCAACACAAGTCAGAAGGGCAGGGACAGGGCGCCACAAGAGCGTTGGAAGAGGTGGCGTCTCGTCATGCCTCATCCTGCCTCAGAATGCCGGGTGGTGGGCAGACCCAGCAAGACTAGGTAGGAACTTGCTGGACAATCTATGGGGAAACTGCGGTGCGATGGCCAGCATGGGGCAGTGGGCGACACAATAAAAACAAAAGGAACGGAGAGACGGCTCAATGGTTAACAGCACTGGTTGCTCTTCCAGAGGAGCCCGATTCAATCCCCAGCCATCTATCTGTAACTCAGTCCCAGGGGATCCGACACCCTCTTCTGGTCTGCAATCACTAGGTTATATGTGCAAGACACCCATTCCTACCTGGACATGGTGGCTCAGACCTTCAATTCCAGCCCTCAGTACAAGGTCATCCTTAGCCATTTACGTAAGTGAGAGGAAGACCAGCCTGTGTTTAGTGAGATGTTATGTAGAAAATGCGCGTGCACGTACACACACACACACACACCACGAGGGGTGGACAGTTGCAGGAAGAAAATTCTAGACATGCTTTTGAAAAGCAATGTCTTAGTAACTGACAGGATATGGATGAGGAAATTCTGCAGGGTAGCATCTGCCAATGACTGCAGTGCAAATGCATCAAGACTTCTAAAGCCCTATCCCAATATAGTGGCAGCTCAAAGTTAAATCCCAGAACTGTGTATTTCAGTGTAAAGCTTTGACTCCTATTACAAGATGAGATATTTTCATCAAAGTCTAGAGACGAGAGCACTTCACAGTGTGTAAAAGCACATTTGTACTCGTTTTGTAGGAAGCTTTTTAAAGGCATGCATCGTTCAACGTCCTTGCTGTGTGTGAATCTCAGAGGCGAGGCTGGCCGCAGGGGCAAAGCTAACCTTTGAAGTGCCTGTCTTTGTTTCTCCGCCTTGTGTAACCCGCTGACTAACGAAGAGGCGTGAAACACAGCTTTTAGGGTTGTAATCCATCGTCTTCTGGGATTGCTGACTCTGAATAAAGATTCAATTTCTGGCCTTTGTCGGTGTTTCAGGCGGCACACACCCAGTTACTCTGGGAGATAACGAGAAAGCTAAACGGGAGGGTATGAGAACTCTGATCTTACGAGCTGGGGACCCCGGGCCCGGGGCTGGCAGGTCGTGTGGGAAGATGGTGGGCTCCTGAAGAGTCTGTCCCAGGTCACTGCAGTAATACCAAGGTAGAGGTGGCGAGCAAAGCTGCCTTTCACCGCAGGAGTTCAGGACGCGATCCCCGGCCAGTTTCCAAACCAAGACGCTCGTGCATGGGTTGACGTCCAAGCTCCAGCGTGGGCCGGGGGACTGCGGGCAGGGCTCGGAGCGGAGGGCCAGAGACCTCAGCGTTTGCCACCCGTCTCTGACACAGCACAGGGGTGCGGAGACGCCGCACCCGGCGGCCACGGGTCCGAACACCGCTGCGAGCAAGCCAGGGTTTTGCTCGGGGCGCGCTCCGAGCAGCCACGCTCTAGGGCCGGGCCCCGCCCACGCAGCAGCAAATGCCGTGCGACCTCTATGGGCGTCTGTGGACAGGGTCGGATGTCGGCTCGTTGGTCTAGGGGTATGATTCTCGCTTCGGGTGCGAGAGGTCCCGGGTTCAAATCCCGGACGAGCCCCGTCTTTGCACTTTTTCTTTGGGTGACGGAAACGTCACTTCTGGAGTTGGGGCCGACATGACAAGGCCTGTTTTGGGCAAGTCCAGACGTCGCCTTGGCCGCTGCAGGCTGGCACCAGTGTGACCCATGTCCGTCTTGGATTACCGGTAAGTGGCAGAGGGTGAGGGCGGGAGATGTCAGCGCTCCGGCTTCGCAGCCCCGGAGACCAGGCCGCCTGTGCCTTCCGGTCACGCCTCGGGTCACCTGCGCCTCCCGGTTGGTGGACCCAGTTTCCGGTGCCGCCTGTGACGGGCGCAGATTCCCATCGCCACGCTGAGTGGTGAGAAACAGCCTCGGCCCAGAGCCCAGATCAGCGATCCGAAGACACTTGTTGTCAGCTTACTCCTCGTTAGTATAGTGGTGAGTATCCCCGCCTGTCACGCGGGAGACCGGGGTTCGATTCCCCGACGGGGAGGGCTTCAGCTTTTGCTTTACACAGTGGACTTTATGCAATTCCAGGAAACACTGGGCATTGCAGGAACGTAGTTTAAAGTTTAGGAGAACTGCTACTGCCGATTGTAGACGCCAGACTGAAGCTTTGCTTTGGGCCCCGGGCATACAGGCCTGGATTTGCCCCGCAACTCAAGCAGGGTACACGCACGGGGAAGGCATACAGGACGCATGAGGAGGGAGACCGGCAAAGGGCCGGGGTTGCGGCAGCGTGCAGGACCGGCCTCCGGGACTCCAAGGCCGGGCGGCAAAATGAGTCTTCGGACACTTGCCTCCACTCGAGTTGGCCCAGAGGGTTAAGAAAAACTAATCGTTGCGTTGGCCGGGAATCGAACCCGGGTCAACTGCTTGGAAGGCAGCTATGCTCACCACTATACCACCAACGCATGTGAGAGAACTAGAAGCTGCGTTCTTACTTATACTCATATACTCTGTATCTTCGGTATTATTACATCTGTATGATTTTAAAAAAAGTACGAATATGAAAAACAAAATCCACAGAAACTAAACGAGATTTTTTTTGTCATTAGTACAGCTGGGACTAAATGTGAAATTCTGGTTAGGAGTCAGTGACACCATAATGACATCATCTCTAGAAAATCAAACAAAATTCGCATATTGAAGTCGTTTCTGAGTGAGCTTAGGGTGGTCCAAGGCTAAAGAGCTTGCCTTTCTGCAAACGTTCCTAAGTAATCACGAGTCATTCATGCTTGATTTCCGCGGCCTGAAACTGCGAGCCCGGCGGGCGGACACCCGGCCTGAGAAACTCGCAAGATCATGGCGGAGACGACTTCTGTTCACGCCAAACACGGCCCGCATGGCGCACGGAGGCCTCGTGGCGCAACGGTAGCGCGTCTGACTCCAGATCAGAAGGTTGCGTGTTCAAATCACGTCGGGGTCATCTGTAGTTTCTTTTCTACTTAATACGTGTTATAAATATTAACCTTAAAGGAAAGAAAAGACAACATTGTTTTCTCAGAGTTGCTAAATCATGTCTTAAGTTTTACATCTTTTTGCGGTTTCTGTCAAAATATTTAGATATGCTAACAGCAATTATTAATGAACAGTCCCCCAACTCTTGCACAGAAAATGTATTTAAGGCAATTAAAAAAACTGTAGCCATAGTTAATCCCTTTAAAAACCACTGTTTTCGCTTTGGATTTCTTAATTTATGTTTACTAGTGGGGTACACACACACACACACACACACACACACACACACACACAATCTTCAAAAGTCAGAAATAAAATGAAATTTACGTCCAAGTTTCTTGTCTTGCCTTCTTGACCTCACTCCTCCTGGGCCGTGTCCTGTCAGGACACCTTGTCACACGGACCAAGACGGTGGCACGCCGTAGATAGTCTTTGTTGCAGAAGTTGTGTTTGCCCAACTTTGGAGTCCCCACAATAGTTCTGGTCCTTCCCAGGCACGTGAAAATCAGCGCTTGGCAGGAAAGCAGGGGCAAATACTCCCTTCTGGCCACAGTCAATGTTAACTTGACGAGAGTCCACATTTACCATCACTCAAGAGATGGCATGAGAATGTAGAGTTAACCGGGCGGGAATTGCTAATCTATAGAATTTGTAAGCGGAGTTAATGGAACTCCTGGCAATCCTCCTGCCCCAGGCTCCAGGGGACTTAATTTTTTAGGAACCAGAAAAGTAGAGAAACGAGAATCTTAATCCGCTCCTAGTTTGCGTCTCGACGGGTTGCGTCACAAGAAATGTAGCCAATGAGAGCGGTGTTGGGTGGCGGCTGAGCCAATGGGCTCAGAGCGGGAGATTTGAAAGTGTCCGGGTCACGGAGCGGCCGTCCAGCTAGTCCAACGTGCCGGTGCCGAGCCGAGAGGGGAGCGGCTGCGCCTTGGGCTCCGGAGGGCGCAGGTAGCCCACGGCGTCCGGCTCGGTTGGCCGGGCCACGCGCCCGCCGGGCCCCCGAGGGAGGGGTGCAGAGAGGGGCGCCCCGACCTCGGCCTGCGCGCTCATTCGCTCCCCGCCCTGGCTTGCCCTCGCTGCAGGCCTCTGCTCTGCCCCTCACGCCGTTTCCCTCTCTGCCCAGCTCTCCTCCGGCTTTCCCCGCGAATGGCTCAGAAGGAGAACGCCTACCCGTGGCCCTACGGCTCGCAGACGGTAAGGTCCCGGCCGCATTCCTCGCCCCTCCCTCGGAAGGGAGGCCTTGGAGGTAGATGGGGGCCCTGCCGATGGCTGTGCTCAGAGCGCTCCCGACGGGTTCCCCGGGAGTCTGCTGGCAGAGCTCAGTCTGATCACTTGCAGCCTTATCGTATCAGATGTAGCCAAGCCGAATCTGAGGGCTTCTGTGGAGCTGAGCCTGCTCGTCACATACACAAACAATAACTGGGACTGAGCAAGAGGCAGCATTGTGCTATCGGGCCGTGAATCCCACCCACCGGTCTGAAAAAAAAAAGTGACTACACAGAAATTAGCTGTAGAATAGAAAGTTAGTGTTTGAAACCCAGGACCTGCGGTTTTGATGTACTGTTGAGCTACAGTCCAGCCCTAGAATTTATCTTAATGAGTGGTTGGAGCTAAGGATCCAAATAAATTTGAAATTGTGTGTGTGCGCGCGTGTGTAAATGCATGAACCCATCTATACTGACATCCCCGTGGGAGGTTTGTAGGCGCACACTAGGGTCTCCTCTTGGCTGAAGAAATGAGCTAGTAAGCACGATAGTGCACATCTGTAATACAGCACACTTGTAATGAGCTTGGCAAGACAATGGGACCCTAAGCCCTCCCCCAAAATGAAGAGTCCTTCAGTTTGTTCCCGGTTGGTCGGGCCTGGGCATCCTGGACAGTCCATCTGTTTCCTTGTCCCAGCTTCTTCCCGAGGAAGAGTGGAGTCTGAGTGAGACACCACTGTTACCTTTACCTTGGGCACTATCAAACGAAACAATCTATTGCTTAGTGAAATCTGAAAGTGAAGCTGTAGCCCAAGGCCTTCAGCATCCCTCCCCTCCGCTGGTGCGTCTTCGTGAGCTCAGGCTGCTATGTGAACCTGGATGAATGTGTGATGTGTAGAGCTATCCAGATTGGACATTGCCGCGCTTGAGCAGGTGGTGTGGGTCAAGGCCAGGTGAATTGTTAGGTGTCAAACACCCCTTGTCTTGGGTGGTTTTTTTGCTTGTCTGTTTGTTTGGTTTTTGGTTTTTTTGAGACAGGGTTTCTCTGTGGCTTTGGAGCCTGTCCTGGAACTAGTTCTTGTAGACCTGCCTGCCTCTGCCTCCCGAGTGCTGGGACTAAAAGCTTGCACCCTTCATCTCAGGTTGTGTCTTAATAACCCGTTTCTTCTGGAGCAAGAGCTAGCGGCTAGGTAGTCAAACTATGGTGTATCACTATTGCTCTATGAACTATGAGGGGATGGATGGATTCTTTAGCAGGCAGCTGGACTGCTGCTTGTAGCATATTCCAGCTAGGCCACAGGGACAAGGACACCCTCAGAGCTACCCTTTGCTCCTCAGTCTCATTCAGGTCTGAACACCCTGCCCCAGAGAGTCCTGCAGAAGGAGCCTGCTCTGACATCTGCGCTCACCCTCATGAACCGGTCCAATGGCCAGTCCACAGGTACCGGGAGCAACGGGGAGAGGATTGGCCCAAGGGACCAGAGCCCAAAGGAGGGTATAAGGTGAGAATGTCAAAGGAGGAACTCAAGGTGCCTGCTCTCTCCTTAGCTGCCCCTGGCCAGAAGTTGGCTGAAAGTGTCAGTCGGGGTCCCAATGCCTTGTAAGTACCCCAAAGCGGGAAGGGGACTTAAATAGCGGTGAGGGGAAATGGGGGAGTTAAAGGGAACAGGGATAGAGAGAAATCAAACACCTTAGAAGGTGATCCAGCCAGCATTGAGCTGCCTTCCCCGCACTTGTCTAATCAGGCGGTCCCTCACTATCGACGACTTTGAGATTGGGCGTCCTCTGGGCAAAGGCAAATTTGGAAATGTGTACTTGGCTCGGGAGAAAAAAAGCCATTTCATCGTTGCGCTCAAGATCCTCTTCAAGTCTCAGATTGAAAAGGAGGGAGTGGAGCACCAGCTACGCCGAGAGATCGAAATCCAGGCACACCTGCAGTATGCTGCTCACCCCGGCCCCGGCCCCGGCCCCGGCCCCGGCCCCGGCCCCGGCCCCTGCCAGCCTGATCACCCCACATCCCTGTTTCTGTAATCCCAGCAGTGCCTTACTCTATCTGGACCACCTGTCAGCTCCTCCTTACACTCCCGCCCTGATCTAGGCCTTTGCTATCTGTCCTGTCTCCTAGATGCAAGCCGAAGCTTCCTTTCTCTTTGTCCCAGACATCCCAACATTCTTCGGCTGTACAATTACTTCTATGACCGGCGTAGGATCTACTTGATACTGGAATACGCCCCGAGGGGAGAACTCTACAAGGAACTACAGAAGAACCGAACTTTCGATGAGCAGCGAACAGCCACGGTCAGGACCCGGTGTGGGACGTGAGGCTGGGGCTGTCACTTGGAAGTGGAGGCCTGTTTGACCTTCTGCTGTGAACCCTTGTAGATCATGGAGGAACTGTCAGATGCGCTGATGTACTGCCACAAGAAGAAGGTGATTCACAGGGACATAAAACCTGAGAACCTGCTGTTAGGTCTCCAGGGCGAGCTGAAGATCGCGGACTTCGGCTGGTCTGTGCATGCTCCCTCCCTGAGGTATGGTGGGACTGGGGGCTGTCCCCTGGTATGAGGCTGTGATAGTCTGTGTACAGCTCTTCTGCATCTTGTTCTTCGGGGTGGGGTTTGTCTCCACGTAATGTAGATGTGGCCATATCTTTACAGAAATAGGTGACAATAATTCATGCTCTAAATTTTCTGCTCTTTCTATATAATAAAGTGGGCTCTCTCTCACCACATCATTGTGGAAACTCCCACACGATTGATTGATTGATTGAGACAGGGTCCTATGTAGCACAGAATGACTATAAACTCATCATATAGCCAAATTAAATTTCTGAACCTCCTTGCCTTTACCTCCAAACATAGTAGGATTACAGGCATTTATCACCGGGTCAGGTTTACCCCTGTTCATTGAAAGGAGATATGGCCTCACTGTGTTGCCCAGACTGAAGGCCAGCATACATGAGTATCTGGTATCACAAGCTTAGGTTGACATGCCGGGTTACCCATGTCACATTTTATTTTGGTTTGGTTTGGTTTTATAGTGTTGAGGATGGAACCCAGGGCCTTGCCTATGCTAGGCAAATGCTCCCTCACTGAGCCACACCTCTCAAAACTGCTTCCCAGTTCTTTAACTGTTTGGTTTTTTTTTTTGAGACAAGGTTTCTCTCTGTGTAGCCCTGGCTATACTGGAGCTCAATTTGTAGATCAGGCTGGTCTCAAACTCTCAGAGATCTACCTGCCTCTCTGCCTCCTGAGTGCTAGGATTAAAGGTGTGAATCACCAGTGCCTGGCCTCTAACAGTTTTTTGTTTTTATTTTTTTAAATAAGCATTTTTTAATAATTTACGTGCATTGATGTTTTGTCTGCATGTATGTCTGTGTGAAGGTGTCAGATCTTACAGTTACAAACAGCTGTGAGCTGCCATGTGGGTGCTGGGAATTGAACCCTGGTCCTGCAACTCGTGTTCTTAACTGCTGAACCATCTCTCTAGACCCCTCTTCCCAGTTTTTAGACAAGATTTTACCCGGTAGCCCAAGCTGGCCTCAGATTACCTCGGCTGCCCAATTAAGCCAGATGTAGTGATTTACGCCTTCCAATCCTGCCCTACTGAGGCAATGGAAGATGGTCTCTCTGAGGTTACAGTCAGTCTGCACTACTTAGTGAGCTCTAGGCCAGTCAAGAGAAACAAGGATTGGGATTAGAGGTGTACATCACAGTATCTAGTGACCCCATCGTTGTTTAATGCTTCATGTTATTGCACAGTAAAAATATAATCTGACTTAAGAAGTATTTGTGTGGTGGATGTTAGAGATCTTTTCTGTTTTTTCTTTGAAATGAGCATTGCCCTCACTCTGATTGTTTTATTTATTTATTGAGATTAACATAGCCGGGCAGTGGTGATGCACACCTTTAGTCCCAGCAGTTGGGAGGCAGAGGCAGGCAGTTTGAGGAGTTTGAGGCCAGCCTGGTCTACAGAGTGAGTTTCAGGACAGCCAGGGATATGTAGAGACATTGTATTAATTAAAAAAAAAAAAAAAAAAAAAAAAAAAAAAAAGCCAGGCATTGCTGGCACATGCCTTTAATTCCAGCACTTAGGAGGCAGAGGCAGGTGGATCTCTATGAGTTTGAGGCCAGTGTGGTCTACAGAGTTCCAGGACAGCCTCCAAAACAATACAGAGAAACCCTGTCTCGGAAAAAACAAACAAAATATTCAGATAATCAATTAGTGTGGACACGCTGGGACCATGTATGCCCTTTCCTGACACTTTGGCTTAGATGCACTGCCCCAGGGCATCCCGGGGTCTCTCCCCTACCCCAGGGCATCCCGGGGTCTCTCCCCTACCCCAGGGCATCCCGGGGTCTCTCCCCTACCCCAGGGCATCCCGGGGTCTCTCCCCTGCCCCAGGGCATCCCGGGGGTCTCTCCCCTGCCCCAGGGCATCCTGGGGTCTCTGGGCTGCCTACTGTCAAGGTAAAAGAGAGGCTGATTTTTGAGATCCTGCCCACTTCCTCATCCCATCAGGAGGAAAACCATGTGTGGCACGCTGGACTATCTGCCCCCAGAGATGATTGAGGGGCGCATGCATAACGAAATGGTAGATCTGTGGTGCATCGGGGTGCTTTGCTATGAACTGATGGTGGGGAACCCACCCTTTGAGAGCCCTAGCCACAGTGAGACATACCGTCGGATTGTCAAGGTAGGATGTCTGCCTGGGCTCTGCACTGTGGAAGCCAGGCTCTGGGATGGGCAAGGTGGATTCATAGGTCTCTTCATAGTCTCCCTATTTCATGAGTACTTCTTATTTATTCTCTGACAACTTTATATATATACACACACCCCACACACACTCCTTTCCCAACACATGCCCCACCCACTGTCATGTCCTCTTCCCTTTTATAGCCCCCTGAGACCAGCTAGTGCTGCCTGCATGAACACCAGCAGCCTACCTGTACCCACACTCCCAAAGGAAAATGACCCCCCCACAGCCACCCATTGTTACTGCCTCCTTGGGGGGGATGCAAACATCTCTTTGAGTCCTCACGGAGAACGTAGTCAGGGTAACACCCTTTTTCACCTGCAGGTGGACCTGAAGTTCCCCCCTTCTGTGCCTGAGGGGGCCCAGGACCTCATCTCCAAGCTGCTCAAGCATAAGCCCTCAGAACGGCTGCCCCTGGCCCAGGTCGCAGCTCACCCGTGGGTCCGGGCCCACTCTCGGAGGGTACTGTCTCCCTCTGCCCTTTAGCTTGCTTCATTTTTGTCCCTGTTGTTTGCTCGGTTTTGTTTGTAAATTTGTTTATGTGTTGGGGAAGGGGAGGGTTGTTCACAACTATCCCCAACTCCCATTCTAGGGAATCTGATCCCTCCTCTGACCTGCACAGGCAAAACCAGGCCCACATGTGGTGCACATACATGCAGACGAAACATAAAATGTTGTTAAAAACAACAACAGAAACAGTACTGGAGAGATGGCTGTTCCTCCAGAGAGCCAGGAGTTGAATTCACTGCACCACATGGTGCCCACAACCATCTGCAGGCACTAGGCATGGGTGTGGTACACACATATATACGTAGGCAAAACACCCATACACAGAATTTTAAGGACTTATACAGTCTGATTTCTGTCAATTTGCCAAATGTTATTTTAAAATACCGTAAGTCAAAAATGCATTAATCCAGCTTATCTGTGAAATATGCTTAGCCTAGCCTATCTTAAATTCAGAAAAATTATGTAGCACAAAGTATATTTTATAATAAAGCCTTAAATATTTCATGTTTTTGAATGCTGATTTGAAAGTAAAAGTAGTTGTTACACGTTGGCAATGTTGTGAAGCAGAAACCCAAGTTAGCTTGGCATGTCGTACATGCACTCAGGGCTGAGGCAGGAAAATCACCGCAAGTTTGAGGACAGCTTGGTGTGCATTCCCGGACACACAGTGATTGAAGTAAAACTTTCTGCTCTTGGGACTCTTCCTCCTGTTGGGCTGCTGTGTTCAACTTAAATATGAAAGTTTTTGCTTCGTCTTACTATATTTTATTTTGTTAGGTTTAGTTGTTATATCTTAGGAGCCTTGGTTGGTTGGTTTTGTTTGTTTAACTCTGGAACTCTATACCTGTCTGGCCTTGAATTTATAAAGATCCACCTGCCTCTGCATTCTGAATGCTGGGATTTAAGACTTGGGCCACCACAGCTCAGCAGATATATATATATATCAGGATATATGAGAAAGTTTTTTTTTTTTTTTTTTTTTACTTTTTTTGGCTTTTCAAGACAGGATTTCTCTGTATAACAACTCTGGCACTTGGCTTTTTAATCCTAGCACTTGGGAGGAGAAACTATCTCAAAAAACAAGACAAAACAAAACATGGCCAGTCAGATTAGTACATACAGGTCTTTAATCTCAGTTCTTAGGAGGCAGAGGCAGGCAGGTCTGAGTTTGAAGCCAGCCTGGTCTTTATAGCCAAGACTACATAGAGACTGTCCCAAAATGGTTTTGACACCTTCTGGGCTCTGAGGGCAGGTGGCATAGACATACTTGCAGTCAAAACACTCCTACACATTCAAAAATTAAAAAGTCAATGATAGATCAAGCCCAGAGCAGTGGCCCATACCTTTAATCTTAGTACATGGGAAATGGAAGCAACAGAATTGTTATGAGTTCAAAGCCAGCCTTAGCTACAGGGTGAGATCAAAATTATAAAAAGCTGCACAGTAAAGGAAACCATGCACAGTCAACAGAGTGAGGAGAAATCTTTCCCAACTGCGCCTCTCATAATTAATATCTAGAATTAATAAGTTTCCAAAAATTAAATACCAAACAAACCATTATATAATTGATAAATAGGCTAGTTAACAGAATAAAGGACTCTCAAAGGAAGATATACAAATAGCCAATAAATGTTTGAAAGTGTTCGCTACCCTTAGCCCTCAGGGAAATGGCAAATGATAAGTGCTTTGAGAGCCGTGAGGTGGCTTTGCAGGTGAAGGTGCTTCCACCCGAGTAACGTTGCTGGAGTCCATGGTGGGAGGAGGGAATTGACTCCTTCAAGTTATCCCCTGATCTCCACATGGGACGTGCGTGCGTGCGTGTGTGTGTGTGTGTGTGTGTGTGTGTGTGATGTGAAAGTAGAAATAGAATGGGGGAAGAAAGGGTCTAAAGGGGAAGGAAAGGGAGTAGAATTTACATGAAAGCAGAAGGGGGAGCAATTTGGGCGAAGGAAAGGGACAGAGGAGGGTAGGGAGGAGTGGGGTGCATAAGAACAGAGCATTGTGTGGCTGGATAGTGGTTCAGCAATTAAGAACTCAGATTTGGTTCCAAAGAACTCAGGTTAGGCAATTCACAACCAAATATAACTCCTCCATGGGATCTGGCCTTTTTGTGGCTTCCACAGGCACATAAATTTTTTTTAAAAGCATAATGATCAGTGATTAAGAGCTCTGACTGCTCTTCCAGAAGACCCAGGTTCAATTATCAGCAACCACATGGCAGCTCACAACTGTCTGTAACTTCAGTTCCAGGGGATCCAGAATCCTCATGCAGGCAAAATACCAAAGCACATAAAATAAAAATACATTAATTTGTTGAGTGTTGGTGGCACAGGCCTTTAATCTCAGCACCCGGGAAGCAGAAGCAGGTGGATCTCTGTGAGTCCAGCCTGATATACAGAGCTAGTTCCAGACAGGCTCCAAAGCAATACAGAGAAACCCTGTCTCAAAAAACAACCAAAAAAAAAAAAAAAAAAATCAAATGGTAAACGTAATGATATACATGTTTGAAAATGCCACAATCATTTTCTAATAAAAATTATAATTTTAAGGAAATTCACAATTTGATCAAAGTCCTCGGGAGCCAGTCCCAAACCCATCAGCTAGCAATCAAACCCCAAAACATGACTCTGGGGACATCAGATGTTCAAACCATAGCACCATCCAATCTATGAAGTATTATGTAGTTCTTTTTTAAAAAACAAAACATAAAGCTCTTAACCAGTTTGTGGTGGTGCCCACCTTTAATCCCAGTGCTTGAGAGGCAGAGGCAGACAGATCTCTGAGATTGATGATGGATTCCTGTTTAGCACAAATTTCTCATTCTGAACTTGACCTTGTAGGACTTGTCATGGGTGGAATCATACTAGAACATATAGACTAGGTAGTTGAGGTCAGTGGTACCTGCTCTACCAAAGTGGAAGACAACCCTGGTGAGCCAATATAGCCAGATGCATTCACTGTGACCTTTCCTGTGCGTCTCAGGGCTAAAGCGTCAAGGTGAAACTGTAGAACATCTGGTGGAGCAGAGAGCCAACTCAAAAAAGTTCATTTATTTTGAGTGTGTGCCTATGTTCGCTCACACCATGGCTCATGTGGAGGTCAAAGGACAAGTTCCCTCCTTCCACCATGTGGGCCCTGGGAATTTAACTGGCTGCTGGGCTACTACTAGTTTCCTACATCTCATAATCAGCTATATCTTGGTGATTTAAAAAAAAAAAAAAAACTATTTGTTCCTCTGTTCTAAACACACACAAAATAAAGCTGGGTGGTTGGGGGTGGGGAGAATAAGGAGATTATGGTGCCTCATGCTTGAATCCTAGTACTAGGGAGGCTCAGGCAGAAAGATCTTGAGTTCAAGGCCAACCTGGACTGCAGGAGTGAGGGCCACAAGGCCTAGGCATGTTGCTTAGGAGAGCTGACAATGGGAAGGCGAGCACAGGAAGTGTAACAGGAACCACTGGCTGTTGTGGAAATGTTTGCTAAAGGAGACAGAGTAAGTAGAAGACTAAGATGATAGTGGCCCAGTCTCACTTGAGGGCACTACATTCTGCCAATCTGGAAAGGCAGCAGTACTTAAAACAAATTAGTGAAAAACTAGCCAATAAAATCAATAAAACAAATGGCAGCATATGCTATTGAGGATCAAGGTAAAGGAAAAAACACTTATTCATTGCTGGTGGGAGTGCAAACTTGTACAGCCACTATGGAAATCAGTATGACAGTTCCTCCGGAAACTGGAAATCGATGTACCTCAAGATCCTGCTGTACCACTCTTGGGCATATACCCAAAGGATTCTACATCCTACTACAGGGATAATTGCTCATCCATATCCATTCATAATAGAATTAAAAACAGCCTAAATGTCCATCAACTAATGAGTGCATAATGGAAATGTGATCTTTTTACACAATGGAATAGTATTCAGCTATTAAGAAAGAGATTATGACATTACAGCTCAATGAATAGAGAAAAAAATTATTCTGAGCGAGGTAACCCAGGTCCAAAAAGGCAAAGATTGTTTTCTCTTATTTGTGAATGTTAGCTTTTAAGCTTTTGATGTGTGTGCTACAGTCTGAATAAGCACAGAGGTTAGATACCCAGTAAAGAACCAGGGGGTAGGAGAGGCCCTCTAAGGAACAGGAAATAGAATATATTGGTATGGAGAAACAAAAAGGAAACTAGAATAGGAAGATTAAATTGGTGTGAGGTAAAGAAGGAAATGGGGGGGGGGCAACTAACACTAAATGCCATTTAGAAAACTGTACCAAGGACAGGCAGTGGTGGCACACACCTTTAATCCCAACACTTCAGAGACAGAGGCAAGCAGATCTCTCTGAATTTGAGGCCAGCCTAGTCTACAGAATGAGTTCCAGGACACCCTGTCTCGAAACACCAAATAAATAGACAACTATATGAAAATCTACTGTAGAAGCTTCCTAAAATATGTACATATATGAAAGGAATCTAAATGGAGTCCCCAAATAGTCAGGAAGACAATGTCCCAATTAGACATGCCACCAGGTAAAACCTCCAGTGCCAAAGGGATCCCATGGAGCTCTCTAAAGATCAAAGGCTGTTGCTAAGGCTATTGGTTACTCTCCACAACCTAATGGTAAGTCCGCATTGCTGAAGACAACACTTGTGTAGCAACACAGAGAAGTCGAACTGATGTCTTAACTAGAGGCTTCACTCCTACTGACTAATATTTATGGTACTGAAAGGCACTGTGCATGCTATTGGAGGAGAAAGGTAATCATTATCCCCCATCGACAAACAGAGTTACCTACAAGTGCAATAGAGGCACAAATGTAACCAAGCACTTTTGGATTTAAGGCTCACTGCATGAGATGGAACCCATGCCTGACGCTGCTAAAGTGGCCAAGAACCTGACTAGATAGGTCATGGGCCCAGGTTAGGTCCCTAACACTGCTGCTGCTGCGACTCTACACAGGCATAAAATGACTCCTAATGACATATTGCTATGCCCACGGAACAGTGCATCACTCAACCTTCCTAAGGGAAGTGTCTTTCAGTTGGTGATTATTAGCACAAAGACCCACAGCTAGACAATGTCAGAGAGTACTGAGTCCTAAATGGGATGTCCTCATGAAACCCTCCCCTCAAACATGAGGACGATGTGGAAGATGAGGCAGAAAGATTGAAAGGGCCATCGGTGGTGGGTGTCTCTACGGAAACTGTCTTCCAAGTACAGCAAGTACAACATACAATGGGACTGATGCACATATGAACTCCAGAGACTGGCAGCACATACAAGACCTGCACAGGTTTGTGCTAGACAGACAGGGTCCCAGCCCTGAGGGAAGAGTGAAAAGAAGGTCCCAGCCCTAGTCAAGGTATCTGCAAATGACACCTGCTGGCAAAGGGAAAATCGCATTCAAATGCAGGCACTATGCCCAGGAAGAGGCGGCTAATACAGGACCAACTCAGTGGTATTTTCATGGACTTTTCGTTTTTGTTTTGCTTTAGACATTCTTTTTTTTTTGGGGGGGGTCTTAGTCTTTTGCTTGGTTTTGATGTTAACTTCTGTAGATTTTTAGTTTCTTGCTTTTCTTTTCTTATTTTATGTGTATCGGTGTTTTGCCTCCATGCATGTCTGGGTGAGGGTGTCAGATCTTGGAGTTACAGACAATTGTGAGCTGCCTTGTGGCTGGGAATTTAACCCAGGTCCAGCAGTCAGTGCTCTTAACCACTGAGCTGTCTCTCTTACCCCTTTGCTTTTATATGTATCTGTTTATTTGTTTTTTGTTTTTTTGTTTGTTTTGGGTTTTTTGTTTTTTTGAGACAGGGTTTCTCTGTGTAGCCCTGGCTGTCCAGAAATTCACTCTGTAGACCAGACTGGCCTCGAACTCACAGAGATCCTCCTGCTTCTGCCTCCCCAGTGCTGGGATTAAAAGTGTGAACCACCATCAAATCACCTGGCTTCTTTTTATTTTTAAAGGAGAGAGAGTATACAAGTTGGATGGGTAGGGAGATGGGAAGAGTCTGGGAGGGGTGGGAGAGGAAAAACACGATTAAAAATATAAGAAAAAATTTTCAATAAAAAATAATAAAAGAAAATCTATTAGTGAGAGAGGCACATAGAAAAAAAGCAAAAATGTACACTACCACACCAAAAGTTTTTTGTTTTTGGTTTGTTTTTTTGTTTGTTTGTTTGTTTTTGTTGTTTTGTTTTGTTTTGTTTCGAGACAGGGATTCTCTGTATTCGTACCTGTCCTGGAACTAGCTCCTTAGACCAAGCTGGCCTCGAACTCACAGAAATCCACCTGCTTCTGCCTCCCGACAAATGTCATCTTATTATTTGAATTTAAAACCCATTTTGGTGGTGGCGAGACATTCCTTTGGCATGTTTTTACAATTCCTTGGATTATGGTTTAAAAAAAGAACTCAAAAGATTTGCAAAAACCGGGCAGTGGTGATGCACGCCTGTAATCCCAACACCAAGGAGTCAGAAAAGGGAAAATCAACAATAGCAAGCAAAGACAAGAACAGAATAAGGACTGTCAGGGTGCAGGGAACTGCAAAAGTCAATGTTGGTGCTGCCAAAAGGGAAAGTAAAGACTCTGCAATGGCTATCAGCGGTGATTGTACAAAATCTGCACATAGGATTCCACTTCAAAAACGTCACACCTATTATAAGCCGAGGAAAAATGTTCATTTGTTTTGTTAAAGACAAGGGACCCAGAGCTTCAGTTGTATTTTGCAGCTGACAATTTTTCAACCAACAGTTTGCCCAGGGGAAAAAAATCTCCACCCGCTACAGAAACTACAGTACCCTGTGAGATGTAGCCCCCGTCTGAATCTTGGTCTCGATGTTAGAAATCCTCTTCCTTCTCGTTTATTTTAGTCCCAGTGTCCTCCCTCTGTCTCTTCCTCAATCCCGTGCCCCAACGCCTGTTTATATCAAACCTCTTTGCTTCTGAGGTTCCGGAAAGCCGCTGTCCTCTCCGCCTGCGCGACGGCTTACATGCTCTTCCCATCAGAGACCTTTCCTGACCGAGGCCTCATCTAACTCCAACTACTTAACTCTCAATCACAGCCCTTTATTCCCCGCCCTCCCCCTCGCAGAGTGCTTATCGAAATGTTTGATCTTTTCTCTTGTGACAGCATCATATATTATCCTCCAATAGAGAGAAAGGTCTACGCAGAGGGGACGGGAGGCCAGAGAGTGGAAAATGCACGGGGAAGCCCACAGCGAGACGCTCTGGGTGGTCCAAAGACCCGGTCGGTCAACCTCTCCAGGATGGAACTAATTAATCAATCACTCATGATCCGCTGAGAATTGTGGCTTTAAAGTATTCTCATCCCAAGAACCTCCAGAAATCCCAACGACGACCCCAGCTGGGTGTGATTGCTAGGCAGTGATTCTGGACCACTCACTGTAGACGCAGCGTCTGGTCCCGCCCCCCACCCCCGCGGGGCTCCGGGCCTTTTTTTTTTCCCCAGATCTGCCCCCTTCAACTTCCGGAGAGGGCGGGGCGACAAGCACAGCTGTCACCTCCGAGCCGCCACCCGACTGGCTTTCACGTGTGCTCTGCAGTTCCACAACAGCTCTTCGTCCGGGACTTCCTGGGGCGCCGACCAATCACAGACTCCTTCCTGTCCGTCCTGTCATCAGCCGGCCGCCAATAGGCGCGCCGCCGCCAACGCCCCTTAAAGGCGCCGCTGCTGCCGCGGAGCCGGGCGGGCGGGCGACTCGAGGCTCCGGCCCCCAGGCGCAGCATGGAGGCCGCCCCGGGGCGGCTCGGGCCGGGACCGGACCTTCCGGCCGCAGCCGACCATCAGGCCGCGATTTTCAGCGGCAAGCCGGTCCCGACGCCCCCTCAGCCGCCCTCAGCCGTGTGGGCGTCCGGGGAGGAAGAGTCTAAGAACGCCGGGGTCGAGAGCCGTCACCCACGAGCGTCCCCGAGGGCGCCGAGCGGCAGCCTCGTCCACCGGCCGGAGCTGGACGCCCGGGAGGAGCGGCCGGGCATCCGGGCGGCGCGGTCAGGGCCCGCGGGCGCCGAGCACGCCCCGTCCCCGTCCTCCCGGCACCAGGAGCCCGAGCCCGGCGAGAAGCGGCCTTCCGCCCCGAGGGTCTGCCGTCGAGGGAGCCCCGGAGGCGTCGAGATGAATGCGGAGCCGCCGCTGCAAGAGAGCCAAGACCACGAGGAAGAGGAGGAGGCGGCGGCCAGGGCTGGCCGCTCGCTCCCCAGCCGCCTGCAGGACAGCCGCAGCCTGGACGGGCTGAGCGGGGCGTGCGGCGGAGGGGCATCCTCAGCGAGCGGCGAGGCTGGCGCGGGCGGGGGACGTCGCGCCACCATCTCCAGCCCCCTAGAGCTCGAGGGCACGGTGAGCCGCCACGGCGACCTCACTCACTTCGTCGCCAACAACCTGCAACTCAAGATCCGGCTGAGTGGCGCCCCTCCGCCCCTTCCCCCTTCCTCCGTGCGGCCCGGCCTGACGCCCGCACCCACTCCCACGATCCCTCCCATCGACCCGGACGTGCTGAGGGATCTGGAGCGGCTGAGTCGCGAGCTGGGCGGCCGGGTGGACCGTCTGCTGCGCGGGCTGGGCGGTGCAGTACAGGAGCTGACAGCACTGAGCGTGGGCTGCATCCAGACCTACCGCGACGCGGTGGATTCCTTAGGCGAAGCCGTGGACATGAGCATCAAGGGCATGTACACCTTGCTTGCGCGCTGCGAGGAGCTGGAACGGGCTCTGCAGCCGGTTCAGGGGCTGGCACGCCAAGTCCGAGATATCCGACGCACTCTGGAGGTGTTGGAGGCTCTATGCAAGTGATTAGGAGCATAGATGAGAGGCCATGCCAACCTGGCCCTGCCAGGGTCCAGTAAGACCCTAACGATTTTTCGAGGAGCCCTGCCTGGTGGAAACTGCCTGCAGAGGAGAGGACTGTGTGTCGAGGTTCTTCCACAAGCGTTTAGGTGGCCTGTGCCCACTCTGATCATAAGGAGTGTGATTGGGGAAGTTGTGAAGGTTTCCTGTGGGAAGGGATGTAGCTCTGTGGCTACCCTGTTTTTCCTGACTCTCCTCGCTAGCTAGAACGCTGTCCTTGGAAACACAAACCCTTAGGTCTCTTCTGGGGAGTGGGGCAGACCCTCACTTGTGATGAGAACAGAAGCGGCCACTGCCCGCTGTGGCTGTCCTGATTCCAATGATCAGACCTCAAGTGCCGGGGCCTTTAGGAGCTTGAGTGGGCCATGGCCACGCACCATGTAGGCAAGGGCGTACATGTGCAGACGCATAACCTCCTGCTTCTTCCCTCTGGTCCCCTAAAATGCCACGGAGTGGAGCTAACAGGAGCACATTTCATGGTGGACGGGGTGAGGTGGGAGGGCTCTCCCTGCTCTCTGTTCAGGTAGAACTGTTGCTGGTTTGGAAGCCCACCTGTTGTGGAGTATTCTAATCAGTTTTGGCTTTCTGAGTTTTGTGGAATTAAAGTGCCGCTGCTGCTAAGGCTGAGCCTGTTTTTGTCTGGGGTCGGAGGGGTCAGAGGGGTTGGCAAGCCAAAGGAATGGGGATGAAGGCTGGGGTGATTCATGGAGCTCCCCGGGGGTGAAGGATAAGGGTCCTACATAAGATCTGAAGGAGATAATTACACAAAGGGCCCAAAGAGACACCCAAAGCAGAAACAAACCAGTAGAGGAGGGGAAAGGTTTTTCTGCTCCCAACAGACAGGCAGATGCTGGGTAGATTGGTTGTCTTGGTTATGGAGGAAATATAAACTTACAGCACTGTCCCTGACCTCTGTACAAATCAGTCATGTATAATGATTTGAGACAATTGTGTCCCAATCACAGAAGCTATCTTCTCCTTAAAATTTACACAGTACATTCAGGAACTACAAGTTATGATCATAGACTCTCCAAGATCACAAAAGTAACGTTTCCCACACCCCAAGACACTCCCACATTTTGGACATTTTCCAGAATATTTGTGTAGTTCAAAGATTAGAACTACTGCTTTATGGAGTGTTCTTAGATGTCACATTTTAAGAAAAATAAAACTACTAAGATCACCTTGTTAAAAAGGAATAAAACTAAAGTAAGGAATAAAACAGTGGGAATTCCATACTTTTCATCTAATAATTGCAGCGATTAAAAATATGCCTTGGCCCGTACGGGGATCGAACCCGCGACCTTGGCGTTATTAGCACCACGCTCTAACCAACTGAGCTAACCGGCCAATTACGAGGACAGGTTTCTTTTAAAGTCATGTAAATGAAAAGATATTCCCACTAAAAAACCTTTTAGTCTAAGGCCATTTTGGAAAATGGGAAAACAATATCCAAACTAGCCAGGTGAGTACTTAAGTTATGTTGGCAATCAAAGTCCAATTCTGACAAACCCGAGTGATGCGATTTTGGCGCCTGATTGCAGGTCAGGGCGTAAATATGATACTTAAGAAGGGTCAAGATATTGTAGCACCCACTCCCAAATACAAAATCACCGACGGGACAAAGGGACTATGGAATCGACATTACGTTTAGGTCTCACGATATGCTGGAACTTTCCTAGGTTCCCTAAAACTAAAACACTGAGGCACCGCTGGGATTCGAACCCAGGATCTCCTGTTTACTAGACAGGCGCTTTAACCAACTAAGCCACGGCGCCCACGCAACAACGCGACACCTTCACTACTTGGCGAGGTCAATTCCGGGCCAGATGGACAGGAAACAAATCTTGGCAGTGCTGAAAAAGGAAGCAGAAAACTGGGTGACAACATGGTGTTGTGAGGACGTCGACATCATGACGGCAGAAATCATTGTCTCTAAATTACAAAACTGAATGTAGACCTCCGCAAGCTACACACGACGAGGATGGGATTCGAACCCACGCGTGCAGAGCACAATGGATTAGCAGTCCATCGCCTTAACCACTCGGCCACCTCGTCCCCATTGGTGGGACTGCGGTTGGCGTTTCTGAGCCCTGAGTGCTCACGCAGGACCTTTGAGTGCCTGTCTGTGCGTCTGTCCGTGCACTTTTGTCCTCACGCGGGACCTTTGTGCGTCTGTCTGTGCGTCTGTCCGTGCACTTCTGTCCTCACACGGGTCCTTTCTGCATCTGTCTGTACGTCTGTCCGTGCACTTCTGTCCTGACACGGGTCCTTTCTGCATCTGTCTGTACGTCTGTCCGTGCACTTCTGTCCTGACACGGGTCCTTTCTGCATCTGTCTGTACGTCTGTCCGTGCACTTCTGTCCTCACACGGGTCCTTTCTGCATCTGTCTGTGAACTTCTGTCGGCGACTGCAAAGCGATAACGGCGCTGCCTCTCCGGCGCGCGGAACACTGAATGTTTGTTCCAGTTGCGGCTCCGCAAAAGTACTCACTGGACAGGGCGGCGTCAAGATTTGGCTCCCGAGCTTCACGTTCTTGTTCTTTGATGTTTCTTCTTTGATCGTTGAGGAAACTAAATAAAGTTAATAGAAAAATGGAGAGATGACCCCGACGTGATTTGAACACGCAACCTTCTGATCTGGAGTCAGACGCGCTACCGTTGCGCCACGAGGCCGGCCGGCCACGGTCCTGCACAGGTCACCTCATGGCTACTATAGGAAGGGTTCCTCTCCTCCATGCTTCCCGTGCTCCCAGGTGCTCTCCGTGCTCCCAGGTACTCTTCGTCTCCCAGGTGCTCTTCGTGCTCCCAGGTGCTCTTCGTGCTCCCGGCGCTCCAAGCTCCTCGGACTCCCTGCGCTCCGCGCTCCCCTCCAATGACCTTTTTTTTTTTTTTAAGTTTCTGGAAACTCGAATGAATGGAGCCGCTCCGCACTCGAACTGAGAGCAAGCAGCATGGCCTCCCCACCGGTCCCTGGAGTCCTGTGAAAGGAGATCAATGGTTACTTCCCTTGTCTGATTTTCCACTATCGTGCTGCTAAGGCCTGGTCTTAACTGGATGCAGACGGACAGCGGTTTGTTGGCCTTCCTCCTCCATTATCTGTCTTGGTTTTAATTCTTTCACCAGAGGTCTATCTTCTCTTCTTAGGCTGCAGCGTGCAAGGTTCCCTCGTTACAGCTCTCAACTGCCCACACCAAGGCTCCTGAATCCTGCTCACGGCGCCTGGTGTTGGGGCCTGTGGACACCTCCCCTTGACTTCTCATTTCTTCTTTCCAGGTCTTCTGCTCGTGCCGTGACAGGCCAGGTGGAAATGGGAGACCCTTGACTCTTCCCTCACACCTGGCAGGAGTCCCTCCTCTCAGCCTCTCTGATCTCCTGGGCTCCAGAAGGTCCTCCGTCACTCACTGGCTTAAAATCAATCAAAGGCCCTTTGACGTCGGGATCAAGGCTTACCTTCTTGGGTTTACAGAATAAGGAAGCTGAGTTGTTAAAGCTTGTGGGCTCGTCATATACAATTCATATAAAGCTCCTTAATTCACCTCTCTCTCTCTCTTCCTCCCTCACTGCCCCTCCCCCCCCCCCCCCCCCCGCCAATAGCTCTAGCTGTCCTGGAACTTGCTCTGTAGAGCAGGCTGGCCTGGAACTTACAGAGATCCCCCTGCCTCTGCCTCCTGAGTACTGGGGTTAAAGGCATTCGATACTACTGTTAATTGGCATATCATTTAGTCTTTGCTGATACATTGTTTTGTTATAGAAGAGCGACCCGTGCTTTTAATCCCAGCAGGGATTTTTATGTGTTGGAACCCAGCCTGGTCTATATAATGAGTTCCAGGCAAGCCAAGTACCATATTATGGAAAACTTTCCCAAAACAACAAAAAGAAATAAACTTTTATTTTTATTTTCTATTAAATAATAGTGAATGAAGAATAAAGCCCTGGGTGCAATAGGAGCATTAGAGAAAGGTGAGGCAGAAGAATCTCAAGTTCAAGAACAACCTGGGTTGCTTAGACCCTGTCTAGAGAAGAAGAGCAAACTCCTGGTGTCGCTGGGGCAGCAACACTGTCAGGACTGGTTCAAGGCCACCCTATGCTATATTTCAAGCTTCAGGACAGCTTGTCTGTTTCTAAAGGAAGTGTAAGCCAAAAACGAATACAATGCTTTATGTGTAATCTCGAGGTGACTCTATTTTGTAGATATTTGCTTTGGAATCTTGTGTTTAATATAATTATAAAAATGAAATTGAAAAGTTAAGATGGTGGCCTGGGCACATACTCTGGGCACAGATCTCGTGCCGTTTAAGTTCCATGAAGCTAGCAGCTCATGCCTGACCTCACCACGTGGGCACTCCCTCTTGAACTGTCCTCTGTCCCACCACATGGGTGGTCCTCGGCATCTTGGGTCCATTGGGTCTGGAGCAAATGGAAGAGTTTCAGCAGCCCCTACTGTGGGTCATTGATATCAGAGCAGTAGTGGACAGGCTGGCCAAAGCATGAAGGCAACCTAGGTTAGAACATCCACAAACTGTGTGCAGGATGGCCTTTATCCTTGACCCAGGTAGGCTCCATCATTGGTCTTGATAGAGCTGGCTGTTCCTGGAAGGCAGTCTCTCAAATCAAGAGAAATGCATTCTTTTTTGATGATCAGGCTGCCAGAGTGAGTCCATCCCAGTAAATCTAGTGTGAAGCTGATGCTTAGCGTGCGTTGCCAATAGGCTACTAGCATGTGTTGAATGGTTTTCGTGTGCCCAAACTCCAGTGCAGCTGTCTGAGAAGCATAGTCCCCCAGGCCCTGGCAGTGCCCCAAGTTCAGATATATATATATATATATATATATATACTCTTTTGTTCCTTCCCAACAAGAGTGATTTGAACTATCAAAGTTTGGGGTCACTTTTCCTGAGTGCTGTCATTACCGCTCCCCACGTGTGTGTTTGTGTCCTGAAATGGGAAGCCTTTTGAAGAACACGTGTCACCCATACATAGTAACCTCTTATGGCCACAGTGTCGCACTAAAACAGCTTTTTTAGGGCAGGCTTCTGAGAATCAAGGCCATGGAAAATGACAAGATAGACTTAAAAGGCACTTAGTAACACCAAGTGTGATTACCTAGTATCTACTATCTAGTAGGCTCCTTGGCCCCTTGGGCTGGAAGTACTATTGGCAGAAAACGCCAAATTTCCAGATGCTAGAACTCTAGATCCCACAGCCAGACTGCCAGACCTAGATCTTTTACCTCTAAATATCTCTCCTAGAGTGGCATGCCAGTGACCCCAGAACTTGGGAGGCTGAGACAGGAAAACTGCCATGAATACAAGGCCAACCTGGAATACTCAGTGAATTTCAGGCTAGCCAAGACCCTGTCTTAAAGAAAAAAAAAGAGTATCTCTTGATCTCTTGATTCTCTCCCTCCACTTGTTTGAGCCCAAACCTATCCCTTCTAGATGTTTCTTTCATATCTTCCCCACTCATCTACTTAAAACCTATTTTCCATGTTGTATCCACAGTCTAAATTACAAATCTGAGTGTGGCTCAAGCAGAGATAATTTAGAACCTCTGGCTTCCTCTCTGTCTGGCAAACAGCCATTGCTGCTCCCTCCTCCCTCTTCCGGAGTGTTGTTTCCCTGCATCTCCACTGGGCTGACTCCTGCCTGCCTTTGGAGCCTGGAAATATTCAAAAGCAGGTCCTAGCTTTTGTCATGCCCTATAACAGTTTCTTTGGCCTGGGAATAGTCAAACTTGCTACACCATCACCAAGCTCAACCTCCTAAGTCACAGGCAAGGAAGTCCTCCATTCCTGCATCTTGTCTTCTGTTCCCTAAGCATGCTTGCATGTTTTATTGCACTCTTAACTTCTGTGAAGGAGAATACAAAACAAAAAAACAAAGAAACAAAACAAAATAAACCTCACTTCTTGCCCCAGCCAGCAAGGCAGCAACAAGGGCCGGAACCTCAAAGGACCTGCCTGGAATCAAAGGACAAGAAACACAAGAAACAGACAGCAAGGCAGGGTTTCTGATCAAGCTGCAAAATTTTATTTTTCTCATAGACCTTATATAGTGGCTAAAGCAGGAAGCTTGGTGGGGCGGGGGTGGGGGAGATTCAGCAAGGAGAGGCCATTGCCTGGTTACCAAACTGCAGAGCAGAACGTTCTGGGTGGTGCATCATTGCCTGCAGGTGCTCCTCAAGTCCCTAAGGATTCTGAGGAGGTTGTGCTACTGCTTGTTCATGCTGCGGACATTTCTATGGCTGGGCTGTGGCTAGGCCAGCATGGTCATTTCTTAGGCCAAGGCAAGTCTCCTGCTCCTGGCAGTCTCTCATTATTATAAATAAATAAATAAATAAATAAATAAATAAATAAATGTAGGTAGCAAACAAACACCTTTGACCCCAGCTCTCTAGGAATGATGGGATTAAAGTTGTGTACTGGTATTCCTGGCAATTTATTTATTTATTCATTTACTTAGGTTTTTTTGAGACAGAGTTTCTCTGTCTAACAGTCCTGACTGTCCTGGCTTTCATTTTGTAGACCAGGCTGAGAGCTGGGAATAAATGTGTGTGTCATATGCTCTTAACTTCTGAGCCATCTTTTGTTGGAGGGTCTTTGTTATTTAGGATCTTTTGGGTTTTGTTTGTTTTATTGAGGCAGGATTTTACATAGTCCAGCCTGGACTAGAACTCATTACATAACTGAATTTCTGACCCACTTTCTGGGATTATAGATGTTTGCCCCCCTACCCAGTTTAAGATTCAGTTTTTTTTCTTTTCTTTTTTTTTTTTGAGACAAGGTTTCTCTGTGTAGCTTTGTAGACCAGACTGGCCTTGAACTTACAGAGATCTGCCTCTGCCTCTGCCTCCCGAGTGCTGGGATTAATGGCAGTGGCCCACCAAGATTCAGTTTTATGTGAAAAAAGTTATTATATAGTTCCACTATATGGGAGCTTGAGTGGAGCTCAGTAGTAAAACACTTACTTGCTTTGCAAGGTCCAGATCCTGATTTTGATTCTCAATGCAGAACACACACAAGTCTAAATATGTAAGGTGTTAAATAAATAGGGACCTTCAATGCCATAAGTTACTCCTTATACTTTAGAATGCTGTTCCATACATTAATGATAGATGATACAATAAGACAGAATGGAGGGTGGGAGTATACCTCAGTGGAGAGTGCTTACCTATATACAAGAGGTCTGGAATTTATCTCCACTACAGTGCTGGAAAAAAAAATCAGAATATTACACTTTTACAACGATACAAACCCTATACAAAATTTTCCCAGTGTCCCACAATGGTCTTTTACTGTAAAAGTGCGTGTGTGGGATGGGGTCTCTTTTACCCGGTTTGGAATCTCATGGTGGGATCCTTTTACCTGGTTTGGGATCTCACGTCATGTCAGATTTATCCCCTTCATTTAGAAGAACTCTTCAGTCTATTTTTCATGACCTTTAACTAAAATATTTTGAGTTCTGAATATTTTTACTCATTGGCTTAGGAAAAAGGAAACCCATTTATTATTTTTAGGACGGCAAGTTCCTTAAAACAAAAAATTAGGAATTATCTGTTTTCAAAGCTCTTCTCCTTTGATATTATTCATGTTATCACTTTTATTTATAACACTCATTACCTGGCAGTGCCCTTTTTTTTTTTTTTTTTTTTTTTTTTTAATGTTTGCTATCCATCTCCCTCCCTAGAATATAAATTGGAGGGACAGACTTTAGTTTATATATCAACGTACTCTGAGAGCCAAGCACAGTGCCTGGCATTTGGGAGTTGTCAATGACGATTTGTTGAATGAATTATATCAGAAATGGCTCTAAGCCTTGTCTTTTAGACTGGTTTAAAGGCATAATACAAGGAATGGAGAGAACTGCAAGTTTGCTGGCTGGGAGGTCTGCTGATAATGGGGCTCGAGTGTGACCGGAGAAGGCGGTGAACACTTCCCACCAGCAGGGGTTTCCAGCCTGGGCTAAGCCTCCCAGGGACTCAAAGCTGTCCCAGTCCGGCGCTGCATTCATCTCTAGCCCTTTCTGATGCCCTCGGCTCCCGAAGCACTCGCCTCACCACGTCTTATCCTAACCGTCCCAAGGCTGCGCGTTTCTGCACTCGACAAACCTCTCCTCGCGTTTTCTGGGGGCAGAAATGAGAGTCATTCTGCGGGAAGTTTGTTCTGGGGAGGGGGACACGCTCCTCACCTCCTCCTCTCCCGGAGCAGAGGAGAAGGGGGTTTGCCGGTTCCGCGTGCGCCCCGGGGGGGGGGGGGCACTCCGTCCACAAGGCGCCTAACCGACTCCGGGGGCTCGAGCATCATTTTACAGACCGCTGCCGAGGGCGAGGCGCTCTCGCGAGACTTCCGGACGCAGTCACCATGGCAACCGGGCGGCGCCGGACGCGCGGGAAGGAGGCTTAGATAGAGAGGTCTGGCCTGCTTGGTCCCGGAGACTCGGGGAGTAACCCGCCTCAGACTTTCAGCGTTAAAAGCCACGGCCTCCGCTCTGGGTCCCCGAGGCCATGGGTCGGGTCCCCGGGCTCGTGCCCTCTCGGTTCCTGACGCTCTTGGCTCATCTGGTGGTTGTCATCACTTTATTCTGGTCCCGGGTAAGACACGGCCAGGACGCGCGTGCCCTCCTTCCTGCCCGTCGCGTTCTCAAGCTGGAGTGGACCCGGCTCGGCCCGGCCCCCTCCCCCGCCGGTCCCCGCAAGCCTGTGCCCCTTTTGACTTTCCTTTGTTTTCTGCCCTGCTTACCAGGAAAGCAACATCCAGGCTTGCCTTCCTCTCAAGTTCACCCCCGAGCAATATGAGAAGCAGGACATCCAGTGAGTTCCTGGGGAGGGGTGAGAGAGAGAGAGAGAGTGCAGGGGTCTTCAGGGACTTCCGAAGCCTGATCGACCCCTTTGCGTTCTGCAGACTGGTGGTAGCTCTCTGTCTCACCCTGGGCCTCTTTGCTGTGGAGCTGGCCGGCTTCCTCTCAGGAGTTTCCATGTTCAACAGCACCCAGAGCCTTCTCTGTATCCTTTCTGCCTGCCCAGTGTTCCACTCTTCCCGCCTCTTCAGACCGTTTGGGCACAAGTCTCTGCCCAGGTGGCAAACCGAACCTCCATAGGTGAGAGGTGGGGAATTCACAGTCTTCAAGCATTTGTTAAACCCTGTTATGAACTAGGTTCCGGCGATCCCCAGATGGGAGTAAGCCATTCACCCCCGATTGAGGGGGAGGGAGATGCACATCCCGTCCGTAAATCGGTGTGATGCGGTAGGGTGTACAAAATACAAAGCGATATGAGAAGTCAGAAGGAGCCAAGAAAATTAAATGAAGCACAAAAGAAGGTTTTAGATAGCCGGATGTGGTGCCACAGGCCTTTAACCCAGGACAGCCAGGGCTACACAGAGACACTTTGTCTCAAAAACCAAACAGAAACAAGAGGAGGTGGCTCTGACTCTTGAACTGTGGACAAAGAGAAGCAGGCACTGGAGGTATTCTTGTGTGGCCTAGGGCATAAGTGATATCAGCCTCCCCAGATGTGTGTGTGTGTGGGGGTTGCCCTGGATATGTAGAAGGGGCCCCTTTTTTGTTTGTTTTTTGAGACAGGGTTCTTTGTATAAAGTTGATTGTTATAGAATTGGTTATGTAGGCCCCGCTGGCCCTGAACTCCTGCCTGGTGGAGTAGTGGGGATTAAAGTCGTGCCCTGCCACCTCCCGGCTGAGCTCTGGCCTCTGAAGGATAGCTGCCCACCAATTCAGAAGGAAGGCATGACTGCCCACTCTGGCACTTGCCTTATGGGAAGGGAACAAGAGCTGAACCCATATCACTCCCTGTCACTTTCCTTGACTCTGATGTTTTTAAGCCATTGCAGCCCACTGTAGCGCATCTGTGGCCCTATCTTTCTTCATATTCGAGCGATGGGAATGTACCACATACTGGTACATTTTTGCTTTCTGCAGGTGCCGTAGCACCCAATGTTTTAGAATGGGTGGGGGTGGAAAGTCTATCCCAAATCAGAAGATTTCCCCCACCTAGACCTTTCCTGCACCGGTGAAATCAGTAGTGTTTTGAAATCTCATACCCATTCCTAAACCCAGTCCTATATAGGGTTTGGAGGTTTGGGTGTTTGTGTTGGAAGGGGCCCTGAACTCACCCCCTACTTTTCACAGCGCCTTCCCAGCTGTCACTGAAACGGCATTATTCATCGCTGTCTTTGGTCTGAAAAAGAAACCTTTCTGATCACGACCTGGACGTAGGGACCAAGGCTGGAAAAGTGATGAAGCTTCCTCCGGCTGGTGGAAGAAGAAAGGCTTCAGTTTTCTCTCCCTACCCTTGTGCCCCTCCCAGCTGCTTTTAAGCAGAGGGTGGCAGTGCTGAGATAAATGCATTTTATAATAAAAGCCAGGCTGATGCTATTTTTCAGAAGACATCTGGGTGGGCCAATAAGCTGGTGTAAATAAAGCCCTTTTTTTCTAGTCTTACTGTACGTGAGCTAGTAGGTGATCCTTTTATTCGGATTTTTACGGTACAAGATAGACGGAAGTAAGTGGGCGGAGATATGTAAATAAGGACCGCACTTAGGCTTTCTAGTTTGCCGTGTGTGAGCGGAGCATTCTGGGAGGATTTTATTTCTCCCTTTTTGGCGCTCAGTGGAAAATAATTTATACTAAGTGACTCGAAAATAGATATTACTCTAAGGTTTCAAGAACCCTGGATTGCTGGATTTGTGCTAAAACTGTCTCAGTCTCACCCTTGCTTAAACAGGAAATGTCTTTGCAAAATAAGGAATGGGCTCCACAAATTTCTTATCGTCAGAAGGTTAATCCTTACCTGTTCCTCCTCTGGAGGGCAGAAAGAAAATGATGATTGGAGCTAACATGATCTGCTGATTAGCATTTCCGTGTGGCCAGGACCTAACAACATCCTGGTTGCTCCTTTCTGATTCTCTGACGATCATACCCCTTTTTTAGTTTGTTTTAAATGAGAGAACTTTATGAAAGCTTAAGATTCCAGTACCAGACAGATCTTGGTTAGGATATTTCTTAGTAGTCGTACATAGTTCTTAGGTTTTAAGTCTATGGTAACTAGTGTTGATTTCTTCAAGCTGGTGGTTTGGTTGGTAGGTGTTTAAGCCCAAGATATGTACCGGAAAAAAGCGGCTCCGTTTTATTCCGTTGTCTGGTGAGGGCTCTCATTCTCACTTACTTACCAAGGACATGCTTTCTCATGATCCTGTGGACATAGCCTGTGACCAACATTTATTCAATGACCTAGGCAAAACTCTGTTTTTAGTACTAAGTACTATTAAAAGAGACGATAAAGGACCCATGCTCAGATTTGGAAATACAGAGGCAGGAAAGAAACACTCTTGTAGTACTCCCAGAATTATTTAATCTTGTAAATTGTGGTACAAGCTACAAAGGAAGGAAGGAAGGAAGGAAGGAAGGAAGGAAGGAAGGAAGGAAGGAAGGAAACTTGTTTGTTAGCAACACTTAAAGTTATAGCTAGAGAGCTACCAAAATACTATATTCCTCAGGTGTTGCTGAGGAATTTGAGTACAACTCTCTGAGAAATCTATACCCTTACATGTGTCTTACTGAACGTGGGAAAAAATGCTTTTTCAGGAGCCTTACTGACAGGTTGCCAAATATAACTTATTTAAATTTAAACAGTGTGAACTTGCAATTAAGTAGGTTATATTTACACTGGAGGTACAGCTCACCGGTAAGTGCATACTTGCTATGCTTGAAGCCCTGGGTGAAATCCTCAGCATCAAAAACTTAAAGTAGCCCGGAATGGCGATGTATACCCAGTCTTAGCAAGGACTCGGTATGCAGAGTTAGGGGTGCAACAAGTTAAAGGTCATTGTGGTCTAAGGCTACATAGTGAGACTAGTCTCAAACAAAACCAGGGAACTTGGTGCCCCTTGTAGGGATGGACAAATTGGCCCAGCTCTGGAGGTTCCATGCTGGGTTTCTCCAGCAATGAAGAGGGTTGTGGTTTTGCAGCTCAGGATGGAGGCTGAGCTCAACCCGAGAAGGTTCCCCATGCAGCTGCAGACTTGAAACAGCTGTCTGCCAAGTGCTCAGCATTATCCTCTGCCTCTTTTTGTAAAATCTTTCAAAGGTTTCTCAAAGCACTTTTATGAGGCAGTAGGTTTAAGAAAACTAAATGTGAGCCTGTGCATAGCTTCCTGTAACACGTGTGCTATGAAACATCCCTGCTTTTCAGACCATCACACCTACCTCTCTGAGTTTTGATGGATTTGCTTCACAAGCTGATAACTGTTTTACATACGCTGGCTGTAGTGTTTTATAAGTGCTTACTTCAGTAGCTTCTGTGCTAAAACTGGAAGGCTACAAAGAAGATTAACATGGCCCCCGTGCAAGGATGACACACACATTCCTGAAGCAGTCCACATTTTTTAGTGATGTTTTCCTGTAATTTTAAGAGACTACATAGGGGTGGGGAGGTGTCAAAAACTTGTCCAAATTAAAAAATATCACAATTAAACATGAGCTGGTTCCCCCAAATTTAAATAAAAATTAAAAAGAGGTACAAGAAAAAAAAAAAAGGCAAAGTCAGAGGTAACATTAGTGCAGATTAGTCCTGAGTGTTGGCATTGTAGTCACCAGTCCATTAAATAAATGTTGGTGAGCCTCTCTGCTACCACTTCCTCCTCCTCTCCCCTCCCCCCTTTGTGCCAAGCTGAGCTCATAGCATGCCCAGCTATGCCCAGCACCTGGCAGCACTGCTTGGTACTTGTACATTTTATTGACTTATTTGGTGTGTTTGTGCATGTGTGTGGCCACACATCCACCAGGTGTCAGGTTTGGGAGCAGGTGTCTTTATCCTCTGTTCATAACTCCACCCCTCCCATTTATTTGTTTGTTTGTTTATTTGTTTATTTTTAAGACAGAGTCTCAAGTGTTCCATGCTGCCTGGAACTTGCTGTGTAGCTGAGAGAGGCCTTGAATGTCTGTCTGATCCTCCTATCTCTTATCTCCCAAGTGCTGGGATTACAGGAAGGATTGCTCAAACATGCTCCCTTTTTGTGACCTTGGAGATGAAACTTCAGGTCATGTGCATGCTAAGCAAGCATTCTCTGACTGAGGACTAACCTTAGCCCCCATCTGTAGTCTCCTCTCTAGATGCTTCTGGTTTTTCTGTAACTGGAGCATCAGAAACAGATTTTCGTTTTGTTGTGATGTTAGTAACTTTCTAGATCAGAGGACTGTTTATTTTTGGTTCTTCTGAAACAGGGTCTCTCTAGTATGTAGCTCAGGCTATCCTGGAACTTGCTATGTAGATTGGGCTGGCCTTGAACTCACAGATCTACCTGCCTCTACCTCCTGATTGCTGGGATTGAAGATGTATGCCAACATGCTGGGATCTCAGGACCATTTTAGAGGCCCTCTCCATAACTGGAGGAATGAAGCCTGCACCTGAATACTCGAACGACCCTGAGGCTTGAGTCCTGAGCTTCTCTCTCTCTCTGGCCACTTCATCCTAGATCTGTAGTTACTGGACACTTTCTGTGAGCGTGGGAAGTCTGCTATGGGGTGTGTTTCATGCAAGACTGGGGGTGGGCATCATGCAGCTTGAGGAACAGCTGTCTGGCTTTTGTTGAACTTTCTTGAAATTTCTCAGTAATAAATACTGTTATGGGGTAAAAAGGACAAAATTGGTTTCTGTCAGTTCACAGACTATCTGGTGGGGCTGTATGGAAGCCTCAGGTAACCCCAGTGAGGATAGGGTAGACTAGTAGTGTGACAGATCTCTGACCTTTTCGTGAGTTTACTGGGATCATGGGGGACATCTGTTGTTTTCACGTGTTCAGCTTCTATCCTTTTCCTAATAACAGCACCCCATCTGCCTTTTGGAATGCCCATTCTTAGTCTTTCTGCTCACTAAGAGGCTGACAGTCACTCCCTCCTAATCCTCTTTTTGCTTCAGGGGTGACCAGGTGGCATAAACCTGGCCAAGAACAGCATCTCATATTCCGTGGTCCAGTGAGTAATTCAACACTTGGTAAGCAGTGAGTTCAAGTCCAGCCTGGTCTACAAATTGAATTCCAGGACAGCTAGGACAGTTATACAGAGAAACCCTGTGTTGAGAAACAAAACAAAGAAAAATACACCAAGTTTGGGAACATACATATACATGTTTTAATTTATTTTTATTTATGTGTACAGCCAAGAACTGTACCTCTGAGCTATACCTATGTGTGTGTGTTTCCAAAAGAATTGAAAACAGATATGTATGCACTCACAATCACAGCAGCATCACTTATGAAAACCAAAGGAGAAACATCCCAAGTGTTCAGTCACAGATGATGGGTCAACAGAATATGGTACATATGTACAGTGGGTTATTATTCCACTTACAAAGGGATGTCTATGACAGAGATGGAGAATGAACAGTGAATACAGGGATAGTAGGACAAGAACTTCAGTGTTCCAGAACACAGGAGAAGAGCTATGGTGGTTATGTTTTTTGTTTGTTTGGTTTGGTTTGTTTTTTATTATTCTAAGTTGATGCTGCAGAGATGGCTCAGTGGTTAAGAGCACTTACTGCTTTTACCGAGGACCTGTGTTAGGTTTCTAGCACCCATATGGTGTAGTTCACAACAATCCATAACTCCAGTTCTAAGGGACCTATTGCCCTCTCCTAGCAGAAAGACACATTGGGTACATACATCCATGCATGCAGATAAAACTCTCATACTTGTGGTTTTTCAAGACAGGATTTCTCTGTAGCCCTGGTTTGTTCTAAAACTCACTCTAGACCAGGTTGTCCTCAAACTCAGAGATCCGCCTGCCTCTGCCTCCTGAGTGCTGGGATTAAAGGTGTGCACTACCATTGCCCAGTTCTAAATTTTTTGAACTATTAATTAATTTGAAATGGGGATCTCACTATGTAACTCTGGATGGCCTGGAAGTTGTCATTTAGGCCTGGCTGGCCTCATACTCACAGAGGTCCAGTTACCTCTGCCCCTTTGTGCTGTCATTAAAGGAGCTCAGCACCACACTCTGCTGTTTTACTTTTATTTAGCTTATTTATACAAAGTAATGAATTTCACTGTGACATTTTTTGTTTTGTTTTGTTTTGTTTTTGTTGTTTGTTTTGTTTTGTTTTTCTGTATTGCTTTGGAGGCTGTCCTGGAAATCGCTCTGTAGACCAGGCTGGACTCAAACTCACAGAGATCTGTCTGCTGCTGCCTCCCAAGTGCTGGATTAAAGACATGTGCCACCACTGCCTGGCTTCATGTGTTAACTTTTGAGTCAGGGTCTTACTATACAATCCTAAGCCAGACTAGAAGTTGGTATATAGACCGTCTTTCCAATAATTCTAACTCTTGGAATTATTTTAAGATTTTTTTTTGTGATTCATTATCAGAAAATGTTTGATTAGTATTATCTATTTTATATGCATATACACCAGGGCCATGTCTCTTTAAATTTTTATCTGGAGAAACTTTAAGAATCCCTGCATTAGGTGGATCTCTGAGTTTGAGGCCAGCCTGGTCTACTTAGTTAGCTCCAGGACAGCCTGATCTACAGTAAGTTCCCGGACAGCCAGGACTACACAGAGAAACCCTGCCTCAGAAAAGGGAAAGAAGGAAGGAAGGAAGAAAAACCTCTATTTTAGTACATGGCCTCTGGAACATCTGAAATAGCTCTATCTTATGAGGCTGCTGTGGTGGCTCAAACCTCTAATCTCAGTGTGGGTAGATGCACTTTCCCGACGGCCTGGGACCACATAGGGGAAGGAGAGAACCAGCTCTCCAACTTTGACCTGAACTCTTTCCTAACTGATAATTGATTGGCCAACATTACCCAATGACCGTGCAGGTGTCGAAAATGCTGTTCATCATACTATGCTGTCTTTGTTCTTCCGTGTAGCTTTATCACAGCAGAGAGTTAGCCCTATCCCAGTCACCAGGGCGTGACTGCAATCTTTCTTGGTTACCTCATACTTAGCTCCTTGTTTGTAAGGCACAGGAGGTGGTATCCTAGGTGGAATCTTCTTGTCAGAAACCATCTTTATGGTTTAATCTGTTACAATTAGCCGCATCAGGCCGGGCATTGCTGGCACACACCTTTAGTCCCAGCACTTGGGAGTCAGAGGCAGGCAGATCTCTGTGAGTTTGAGGCCAGCCTGGTCTACAAAGTGAGTTCCAGGGCAGCCAGGACTACACAAAGAAACCCTGTCTCCAAACAAACAAACAAAACCAAGTAGCTACATTACCTGCAAGGGTATATGGAAGGGCACAGTGTCTTACATAGGTTCCTCAAGTACTCTTTGTGGGGAGGGACAGCTGCCTTGGTCATTGGTCAGAGCCTTGTCCTTGCCCAGCCAGCTGCAAATTCTTTTATCCATCATCCTCAGTGCTCCTAATGCTGCCACTTTAAGCCCTAAGCTTTATTAACTCCAGCTTCTGTTCTCATGGCTTGGCTCCCTTTTCTCTCTGCTCACCAGCCCCTCCTATCCCTCCTCTGCCTAGCTATTGGCCATTTTGCCCTCCCCCCCCCCCATTCTGCTTTTTATTAGTCAATCAGTTGCCTTAGGCAGGCAAGGTGAAACTGCAACACTATCCTTACATAGTTGAACAAATGTAGCATAAACAAAAGCAATACACCTTACATAATTAAACAGACACAACACATCTTTACATAGTTAAACAAATATTCTAATCCACAACAAACATTTGAAGAATCCTCATATCATCCACCATACAAGAAATGAAAAATTTGTTTGGTTAATATGTTTATTTATGGTTGAGGCTGGGTAGTGGTGGTGCACACCTTTAATCCCAGCACTCAGGAGGTAGAGGCATGTGGATCTCTGTGAGTTCAAGGCCAGCCTGGTCTACAGAGCAAGTTCCAAGACAGACCCTAGAACTACATGAAGAAACCCTGTCTCAAAAAACCAAAAGAGAAAAGAGTTTATTTTTACTTAATGTGTATGTCTATGTCTGTGTGTGTGTGATGTGTGTGCAGATGCCTGAGGAGGCCAGGAGAGAGTGTTGACTCTTCTGTAGCTGGAGTTAGAAGTTGGGAACTGCTGGATAGGAACGGGGAACCAAGCTTGGGTCCTCTAGGAGAGCAGCAGGCACTCTCAACCACTGAGCCAGCTCTCCGGCCTCAATATCCAATAATGCCTAAAAGGTTTCATAGCATCTAGCAGGTGTGGGTAAACAGGCCTTACCTGTTTGCTGGGTAAGAAGAAAACTTGGTAGCACACCCCTGGATAGCAACTTGGCAGAATCCATTAAAATCCCAAGCACCTTTGGGCTTAGGATTTATTCCCCCCCCCCCCCCCGCACTGGGGTTAAATCTAGGACCCATTGATGCTAGGCAGCACTCTACTAATGAATTATATGAACGGCCTTTGATTTGTCTACTTTTTTCAGTTTGATACG